AGCCATCCGTAATATTTCACAGCTCAGACTTTATATGTCTGTCATTATTGTAAAAACAACGTAGATTTGACGGTGTTTACGTCACACCCCAAGAAAATCGCGGTAAGAGGTACGAGTATAAAGTATTAACGAATCACGCTCCAGATCCTCAAGTAACTAGTTTTTCATTGGCCGACAAGGATATCATTGTTGCAGCGTGTCATGTTCCACTGCCTTTTAATAACATAGGTGTCGTCCTGGTGTTTGAGGGTTGGCGACCACTACCCTCCACTCCAGATTTTGTAGCTCTTCAGGAACTACTGTACACACCTTTTTATTTAACTCCATCCCAGTCTTTATCTTCCCCTGGTTCTCCTACCCATGGTTTTCGTTATTAATATCTCTACCATAGTCCACTCATCCATAATATACGATAGGAATAGCCGTGTGTTTGTGTGTGTGTGTGTGTCTGTTCTGGGCAGCCGAAATGGCACAATCGTTTTTCATCAAACTTGGTGGAAAAATCGCAAAAAAATCGTAGAGTAGAACAAGCCTGGTCCTATGTCGATGGTTTCTTTAGGAAGGCATTAATTAACCATTTTATTTACGCTGGAAAACGATGTCGCTGTACGCTGTCAGCCGGACGGCAGACCGGGCACGAACACTTGTTATATCTAAAGTATAAATGCGTTAAAAGTTTTCGTCTCCTGTAACTCGTTTTATTGCGTATTCATGAGTTTTTCTTTAAGTATAAGTTACCTTTAGCATTCCCCTGTAGGACCACACAACACAGACCTTCAAGGAGAATATAAAGTTTACTGAAAATCATCCTTTCAGTAAATACAAAAATAGGCTACCTGCTCCCTCTTCTTAACGACTGACATTCAACAGTTAAAAGTTTTACCCTAATTACAAAGATGATCTCCATTTCACGTTGTAATAAACAGGAACATTCCAATTTACAAAGTTTACATTTATGAATAATAGCTTTAAATTACCTCCACAAGCGATTGATAAAACCACTCAGTAGTTCCAATCTTTACACCATGTACAAAATACTTCCTCTTTGTGAACCAACACATATGTATAACAGTTGAACTTTAACCTTAATGAGCTGTAATATTTCTTTTCTTTTTTATTGAATGAATTATGCCGCTGGGGTGCAGGGTGGAGCACAGCTGGGGGTGAGTCAGGAACAATTTCAGTTCAGTATAGCACCAAGAAAAGTGTGGGTAGTGGTGTATCGGAATTACACTGTACGTCTGTAATAATTATTGGGTGTAAAATAAATTGTAAATTATAGAGGGTTAGTTACTCATTGTGGTGCTGATGGTTTAGGAAGATGGGGGTAATAACGGTGACGAGTATTAATTATGGGAAATATTACACAGTGTACGGACATCTTCCGACTCAGTCATTGTTGTGTTTCGGTTCATTCTCTTAGTTTATATTTTATCGAGGGCGTCCTGTATATACTATTGAACAGAATAATAAAATATGACTACTGTGTATATTCCGTCATAATCATTCTGTAATCCCCTTTGTGTATTATGGAAGAAAGGATTTATATCTCTGAATCATGGTGAGAGTTCCCTCGTTTTTGTTTCGGTTTGTACCTGTTACCAAAGTATTTTTTAAATTAATTACAAGAAACACAAATAAGAAATTACTTCGCGATTCAGGAAAACATAAATCAGAAAGAAAATACCTTCATGTGGTCACTTCCCGTTTGTTACACAGTTGTACGTTCATAGTTAACGGACAGTAACCTTTCCGCCCCAGATATCTTCACGTACACTGTCTCTCAGCACCCGGGAATTGACAGAATTTTTATGTTTTTGTCTGTCTTTATATGTACGACAGTGATGTGACAATCGTTCTGCAGGGTGAGTTTGTATCTCTGGGTGACACCCGAGGGAGATAGTGTTATATATAGCGATTCGGTCTCATATCGGAACTTGTACAATGACTGTAATTGCACGTAATAGTAGAGTAATCCCTAAGTTGCCAAGGTCGTATGCACCCAAATATGTTTCAGCTAATGGCAAAGTGTGCTACAGTATTTGGTTGGCGAGATGACCCGAAATAAATTAATCCTTAAACAACTACAGTAGTTGCATATTCTAGTTCAATAAATAGATGTGTATATTTATTGAGTAATATTATTATATACAAAGGCAAACAGAAAATAGATTCAACCAAGATCCGTAACACCGTCAACTGTAATATTAGTGTACAGTCCTCTGTGCAAGTTAACTGAACAAGTACAGTAGGTACAATATTTGTGGGTCATGTTACACACAACCAGGGAGGGTACACTCGGTAAACAAAGGGTTATATCCTGTAGGGTTTTTTAAATTCTGATTCTTATACCAGACACGAGCAGACCCGTCTACAGAAAGCCGGGTTTTATGTGTAACTGAAGAGAATTTGGGTGTCAGTTGGAAAAGGAGCACCTCCGCTCCTAACACTTGGGGGCGTGACACAGAACTAATTTTTAGTATTATTCTTGAAAGTATTAAGTTGTACCCATTTTTTTTTACTGTTAAATTATTAAACTTACTGTTGTTGAATGGAGTTGTGCTGCAAGTGTTTGGTGGTGTCAAGTAGGTTAAGATTAGAGTTAATATGGGAGTGACTGGCGGTACGGGATATCATTATGGTGTGTTATGGTTTTAAGATGGAGTTAACTATTAGTATTACGCGGTGTTAATCTTAGGGCAGCGCAGCGTTGTGCAGAGTAATGTTGTAATCATGACGCGGTACTCGTGAGGGGATCCAGAAGTTAGTTATCATTATTACCCCTGGATGGTTTTAACACACAGACACACTATGATTCAACAGGTCGAGATGAGGACAGCCATTTTCTTGGATGTCATTCACCATTTTTTTAATTTGCCACATCGTCTGCTGGCGAGGGTTTCTGCCTTGGTGTATTCCGACTCGGGGATTGAAATTGCTTTTCTTGTTGGCTAAGACAACGTTGGTAAAATAAAGACTGTGGGTATACAATGATAAACAGAAAGGCAATTCGACCCACGATAGGCAATACAATCATCAGCTGGTTTTTTTCTTGGTGTTATCCTGGTGTAGCTATAATGGCAGCAGAATAGCACCTGGCGCACGGCTGCTACCAGTAAATTACACCAAGAGTCGCCGCCAGTCCACAACCTTTGCATGTGGCTCCTGCGGAAGCGCTCAACATCCGGTCAGTCCGTCACCGCTATTCTCAATTTCTCCGGCACACCGAGGAAAAAAAAAAGTGTTTTAGAGCAACAGGTAGGGCTTCGTACTCCTCTCAACATCTGCTTAAATTAATGCATGCAGACCAGATAAAGAAATTATGTGTATAAACCTCAACATGGAGCTTTCTGTTTACAGCTTTTAGTGGTGTGAACAGAACAACCTCAATTTTGGTCGAGTTTGCGACGTAGTTTTGGTCTCGCTGTTAGTGTTCAGTTATACCAAAAATTTTATTGCTCCTTCCCGTGTCTGTGTCTGTCCTCAATTTTCCGTTACGTCTCGTTAAACAGAAACCACAGAAGACGGAAACTTGACACCGGTGTAGATTATAAGACAATAATAATGCACAGCAACTGAGTTTTTTCTGAAAGGAAATGGACGATTGACGTTATGATTTAAAAATGGGTAACTGGTGGGAACAGGTAAGGGATATTGCCATACAGTTTGTTACATAGGTTACAGGGATATTTAAGTTAAACCCCTACTCAAGGTTTTTAGGGTTCAGTCTCCCAAATTTTATGGTGTTGAGGCTGATGAAACGTCGGTTAGTTTGTGTTGTAAATTATAAACAGATATTATAAAAAAAGTATTCATATAATAACATAAAAGGGAGACTTTGTGCAAAGGTGAGGATTGAATACCATAAATTTTGTATATCGAGAAGATTAGAAACCACCGCTTATTTTATCTGATGTTTAAACACACGTATGCTAACCTTCCCAAAACTAACCTAACAAATTTCCCATTTTCGTTAGAGCGTTCAATCATCAGGTGAAGACAGTGGAGCTTCACAATCTTCACCACGAGATCCAAATGATTTTATCACAGTTAATGGAGTGTAATAAGTCTTAATAGATCATTCGCGGACATCCAGACCAAAGTATTTATACAGTGTGTAGTTACTTATGTCGAGTTATACTGAGGGAAGTTGTTAACCAGTCAGTTGACTGGAGCCGAGCAGGACTGAAGCAGATGGCCGGAACAAACAGTTAAAATTTTTCTTTCATTAGGTACGTATTACCTCGCCCCAGAAGGTGTTTTTCTGAGTACCAGTATAATGTCTGCCTGTCTGTGTGTCCTCACCATCGCCAATAATATAATAAAGCATATCTCTGAAATGAAACAATTTATTAGGATAGGTCTTGTAATAGTGTCCTTGAATGATGTTAGTGGCAATCTGATTCGCCCCTGCGCTATCGCAGCTGGGGCTACTGGAGCGAGACAGGTCATGTCTGAACAGTCTGTCTTGTGGTGGAAACCCGTCTATGTACAGTACAGAGTTGGTGTATAGATCTTTGTTATTGTGGAGGTGAATGGGGATTTTAGGATGTCATGTTACTGCCTTCACTAAGACGCAATTACTCATTAGTTGACAATACAGGTACAATATATGAAACCAAACCTTGTTATGTTATGCCAGAATAGTTTGTGAAGAAAGGTATAAGGACAGTGTGTTGACATATTTTTACATTACCAAACTTCCTCAATAGTTAACGCATTGTTTTTTTAATAAATAATTGGTCTAGTATATCGTGAAAATAGTACAGCATTAGTATAACAAGATTTCCGGTCCAGATTATGTTCGTTAGGGTTAGGTATGGTCAGGAAATGTCCAGCGTATAAAAATGAGGTTAAACTAAAAGTTGAAAGGTTGTATACAAAAACATGGTGGCATAGTTTTTATTTGATTTTATGAGGTATATATTCATATACGTATGCATAATGTACACTAACCGATGACAACAGATTAAGTAGTTAACGGTGTTGGTGTGTTACAGATGACTACACCCGCGTGGTGTTGAGCAGCTTCCCTGGTGTGCCCGGCAGTGACTACATCAATGCCAACTACATCAGAGGGGCCAGCGGCTCCCGGGCCTATATTGGCTCGCAGGTGAGAAGAAACTTTTTAAGGCAACTTTCCTTAAATATCATTGTATATATATATATATATATATATATATATATATATATATATATATACTGTATATATAATCATGTTTTGACAGCCACCGCGTAGGACTCACTGTAATTGCATTGATAAAGGCTTGAATTTGGGTGAATCAGTGTTCCTGAAGTTGTGTGGGATTTTTGAATGAGCAATTCTCAACACTAATATGCATTACTAACTTACTAAGTGAAATGTTTTGCAGTTCAAAGTGTTGTTTATTTTGGTATTCAAGTAAGTCATGTGTACCATGGCTGGGTGGTTTTCTTAGTAAAGTAAAATCTTGTAGAGTTATACTGTACTATATATACACCGAGTGATACTGTAGTGTAGGTAAACTACATTTCTGCACAAATTTATACACTCTCAAATAATGTATGTAAAATTGACTGGCTGCAGAAAGTAATACTACTGTAGATGTAAATAGAACCTAATGACTGCAATAAGTGTATTTTGGTTAAAATGTGGCTCTGGTGCAAGTTTTCTATTAGTAAGATGACGTATTCCCCACAGGGGCCGCTGCCACTCACAGTGCCAGACTTCTGGCGGATGGTGGTGGAGTGTGAGGTCCAGGTCATCATTATGGCCTCCAACGAGACGGAAGGGGGCAAGGTGAGTAAACGGCTGCCTCAGCACTCTTGTTTAGTCTTGTGTGTGTGGCACTGTTCCTTGTTATTTTATCCTAAAATCAACTTTTATTATGGCAGGAACCCTGGTGGAATTTTACCTCAGTTTTGATAAATTTTCTAAAGATTATTAAATTAAATGTTTATATATACGGTACCGTATATCGTTTTCTCTCAACTTTATACTTTGGGAGATAAATAATTAACAGGCGCAACATATAGAAAACTACGACTGCTTATTAATAATAATGTACCTGTACAGTTGTGATGAAACATTACCACATGGTTAAAATTACTTGCATATATTACTGTGCTGACAAATATACTTGTGCACAGTAGTTGATGCCTGTTAAGGGCAGCTCTCTTTCTGATACACTTGTACAGTACAGTCCTACATATGGTGATAATGAACACAATAGTAGGAGGAGAGTTAACAGCAATGTTTATTATAGTACAGTAAAGTATACGTACTGTAGTTACATGCTATGTTCGGTGGCGTTATTCTGACAGTAAAGGAGTTAGGAAGTGCTATTCTGTTACATTTAGATGAGAGACATGTACAGGACAGCACCATTTTGCAAGTCTTCATATTAGTCTCACAACAAATATTTAATCTCAATTTCTTTTTGGCAGCACAAGTGTGAGTGTTACTGGGTAAACATTCAAAATGAGGAACGGCAGTTTGGCAACGTAACCGTGTCTTTTGTGAAGGCTCGTCAAGTGTGTCCAGACTTTATGGTGCGAACTCTCAAAATAAAGTACACCTCAGATTCCGGCAAAACAGGTAAATGATAAGTAAAGAGTGTTATTTCTTTCCAGCTCTTCTGGAAGAGCCGAGTCATATCCATTCCTGTATTTTTTTCTTTTTACTTCTAGTGATATTTAGATATTCCTGTTATTTCAGCTTTCTAATCCTGCCTTCCTGTTTTTATTACAGTATTTTCAGTCATAGATCGTATGTGATTAACACACATTTTTCATCATAATACGTAAGCCTTAATAAATGCAATAAACACTATTTCAAATTAGGGATGCATTTTTATTATTATTATTATTATTATTATTATTATTATTATTATTATTATTATTATTATTATTATTATTATTATTATAATAGTACTTTAACTCTTATGTAAGTTAATTCACATTGGTATAGAGTAAAAATAATTTCGTTTCACTGTAAGACATCCTGCTCTATCTTAACCAGAATATACCAAGATTAGTTTAAACAGTATATACTATTAGGTAAGTGAAGATTGGTTTGGTTAGGTTTGGTGAAGATGGGTTGGTTTAGAGCTGATTTTCTTTAATTATAGTTTACAGTGGGGTATGCTATAACGAATCTAATTGGTTCTAGAACCTTGTTCGTTATAGCATTCGTTCGTTATAGGATTAATCCGTTCCAGGTCCCCAAATACAACCACTTAACACTGAAAAATATACAGGTAATATAAAATTGAAAAAAATTGTAAAAAAGTGCATAAATATGCATCTAAACCCTGAAATAAAGAATATAATTAATACTTGTAATAAAAAAACAATAAATTATTAAAAAAACAAAAGAAAAAAAATTTTGTTGTAGGAGTTTCGTTCGTTCTAGCATTCTCAATTTTATAGGTAAAACCGTTCGTTATAGGAATATTCGTAATAGAATCCATTCGTTATAACATACCCCACTGTACTTTGTTTATCTAGAAGAGTTGAAATCATAAGTATTGGGTTGTCAGGCTTATTTTGCTCTCCCACCGAGGACTCCCACTTCCCCATTCTTGATCGAATTATATTGGCTTCCAATTAAAGTTAGGATAGAGTTCAGACTTTGTCTAATGACTTTTAAGACACTAATGTTTGATGAGCCTAAGTTTTTGGCCAACCTACTAATTCCTCTGACTACACATTCTGAAATGATTTTGCATAATAGTGATGATCCTTCACGTTTTGAGGAGCCTAGAGCAGTACAGGAATGTTCTTTTGCTGCCCGATCCTTTTTCTATACAACACCCAGGTCCCAGGTTGCCTTCATTAAGAAACAACTTAAGGCCTTTCTTTTTTGAAAGCTTATGATCCTGAACAGGATAACGGTGATGGAGAATTACAGGGTTTAGAAAGTATCTGTATTAAAATTTAAGGGTACATGAATGATAGAAGTTGAACTGTAATTTTTTTGTGATCTCTTATTGTAGTGCAGTTTTTCTTCTTATTTTCAAGTCTTTGACTTTGTAGTGCTTCAAGCACTCGTAAATTCTTTAGCAGAACTGGCACTTTTGAAAAACAAAAGACTAGCTGTTATTATTATTATTATTACCTCTTTAGGCATCTGAGTTGTCTGACTCTGGCATTAGGTTGGCACTGTTACCTATACTTACATTACACTACTCTGGCTCAGCTAGAAAATAGGATGTTAGGGTTTGTCTTTTATTTTTATTCAACAAATATGTTGTTTTAGAGAACTTAACCTAATCTGAACCTGACTGACTAAGCTTCTTTTTTTTTTCCTATTGCACCAACAGAAGAGCGTACAATCTGCCAGTTCCATTACGTACTATGGCCCGATCACGGAGTACCAGAGACTGTCCGGCCATTGTTGGATATGGTGCGTCTGGTGCGAGACTGTCAAGCCTCAGAAACTCTACCTGTTCTTGTACATTGCTCAGCAGGTTGTGGTCGAACAGGAACCATCTGTGCCATTGATTATGTGTGGGGGCTACTGAGAGCAGGAGTAAGTCATCACACTCATATTGTGGTAGATGTCTTGAAAACTTAAGTCATTATTGTATTAGTACTTTAACATCTTATGATAATCTAACAATTAAGAATTTAGTTCATTTAAAATTTGATTGTCCATTATCAGTGGAAATCATATGTCATTGTTTAATAGACAATGCTATTAGGTGATGCACTGGTTACTGAAAAGCTAAGTGACCAAAGTCTGATTTATCCAAAAGCTTTTAGTACTTTTCAGAAATGTAGATACTGATAGATAAGTATGATAATTATTTATTTATTTTGTGTGTGCGTGTACTACAATGTCCACTTTATTGGTACATGATAATTAATTATCGAAAAGAAAAGAAGAAGGATTTCAAGAGAGAACCATGAAGAGTGGGGTGGTGTTGAGAAATATGAAGCTGTTAGTCAACTTTTTAAACCTTCTTAAGGTTGAGTGTTGTACTTTTTGTCAAATCAGAAATGTATATATGTACTGTACTTGTAGAAAAGATATTCAAAGGTTTAGGTCTTCATAGTTAGTATTTTTCAGTTATATAACCCTTCATAACAAGAAGGGTTTACCTAGTTTTAGTTCTCCCTCTCACAAAGTTAACTAATGCAGTGAGCTGTACTTAGTGTACAGTATAGGGTTCTGGTTTCTATCTGGGCTCTCACTTTGTAAATTAGTTGTTTCATTAGTTCTTTTATCTAAAATGTGGTGATGTACAATTGACTATTGTGTTGCTTTCAGAGGTTAACAGAAAACCTGGACTTATTTGGCCTTGTAAAAGACATGAGAAGACAGCGAGTTGCGATGGTTCAGACGAGAGAACAGTATATCCTTTTGCACCGAGCTGTGAGAGAGCTGTTTAAGGAACGTTTAAAAGTGATTGACGCTCATCCCTACGAAAACATCGCCACTGATGGTACGCCACTCATCCTTCGGGAAAAAGAAAGTGATTATGAAGAATTATATGTAAAACCTGAAAAACAAGGTATGAAGTATTTGATAGGTGACTGCAATATATTGCTGCAGTAAGTGTAAGAATGCTAAGTGTTTTGTAATCAGTGAAAAGTATATTGTGTATTATTCGTCACAAGAAGATCTGTAAACTTTTTAATTATGTTTCCCAACATCCTTACAAAGGAATGAATCCTCTCTTCATAAATTTTACGTATTCTTAATGGAAACATATTGCAGTATTTTCCAAGCCTGTAATTATAACTCAGAATTTCCTAGAATTTATAAATTTGTCAGATCTTTGGTCTTAAGTGAAGTACAGTAATGGTTTATGTTACAGATCTTGCTTAGAGATAGAGAAGAAACCCAAGAGACAGTACAATACTTCCTCCCATAACATAAGACAATAACACATGGATCTGGGATGTAACAGAATGCTCTAAAGCTCAAATTACTAAGATGAGGTGCCAGGGGGTTGATAGATACTGTACTGTAGATAGATATTCAATAAAATCATCATACAAGTTTACAATTGGATTAGCATGTAGATAGATAATGCAGGTATACAGTTCAGTAGGTGTATAAACAACAGGTATATAGCTCAGCATGTATATAGACAAGACAGGTATACAGTAGATGAGTGAGGCACTGTAGATAAGAATACAACATGGGTTACAAGTAGTGTACGTACTGTATAGTAGTGACAGGGAGTATGCACACCATTAAGCTGGCTACAGTTCTTTTCTTTATTCAATATGTCTCACATCTTACTCTCAGCTGGTGTGATGGTGAATGGTATATAATGATCAAGAACTGTAAGTAAATTATCTGGTTTTCAGATGAGAGTGCCAAACCGACCCCCCCAACCACTGCCCCAAGTGCTGTCTCCACCCCCACCGGCTCACTCACTCGCTACTCTCACACAAGAGGAAACACAGGTGAAGAAGATTAATATTTTCTCAATGCTTTGTAATTATAATGGCAAATATATTCCTTGAAAAAGTTTAAAATGAATAGCATCAAATCATGTCCAGAGAAAAGAGAGCATGAGCGTTCACACTACATGAAGAATACTCACAACCTGACTACTGTATTTTATTTCCAGAAGAAGAGGATATAGTATTATTAATCTGACTCAATAGTTTTGTATGTTCTCAGTTATATTTTCCTTATTAGGTTATTTAACTCCTTCAAGGGCCAAGGTTTTATTGCACACCAACAGAAACACAAGATAATACAGAAAAGGAGACACACACACATGTTTTTTTGTGTTTTTTTTTTAATTAAGCTTCGAAAATGTTGGCTTCTTAGGAAATATTTTAAGTGATTTGAGTAATATGTCACTTCACACATACTGTTTATAATAGTGGACTGGACTGACACTGTTTTGGGTGGCTATAGATGAGTCTGAGGTTATGATGTGCATGATTTATTTAACAATTGTCTTGGTTACATTAACTTTGTAGCTTTATTTATCATTTAGGTAATCTTTGTGCACACTTTTAGCCAACTCATGATATACAGGAAATATGTAGCATGTATTTAACAACACTGTATATAGAGGAAATTAGACATGGGTTACTCTGCTAAATTGTGAAAGGTAACACATAAGATATAGATATACAGTGAGTCAAGTGAGAGCAAATCAGACCTCTAACAGGAGGGTCTGTTGAATTAAAAACCATAACTAAATATATTAGAAAACATTATCCTTAGTGATACACTCAGCTTCAGGAAAGATATTGAGAGATGTTTCCTCAAGATTAACTAAAATTATATTTCTGTCAACAGATTACTTGGCTTCCAGTTCACCTATAAGCTCACTAGAACGGCCACTAGTTGCGGTTCCTCCTCTGCCACTGAAGCTGTCCAAACCTCCTGCTAATATTCAGCCTTCTCCAGGACCTCATGCCACACCAGCCCCCCAACCATCTCCAGTCCACAGCCATTCTTCACCCATGCCTCAGGCATCCCCAGTTTCCTTCCCCTCTCCAAGTCAGGCTCATATTAGTTACTCGACACCCTCCACATCTTCATTCTCATCAAATATTTTTCAATCCACATCTACCTGCACTAGTTCCAGTTACTCCAGCACCCAGGCAATTGTCTCACAATCCTCATCCAATCATTTGCTTCATCCTCACTCAAATAGCAAGATGGGTATACATCCTTCATCCAAATTTGAAAAGGATGCAGAAAATGCAGCCCACAAAAGACAGGTTACACAGCCATCTTTATCCTCTCCTGCTGGGAGTGGTCCTCAAAGAGGTATTCTTACATCATCACTATCAGGAAGTCCTCAGCCTCTGCCTTCTGGAAGTGCGACACCATCTGCCACACCAAATACTACCCCAACACCCCTATTTGGACTTGGTCTCAGCTCCCTACATCCTCCAGCAAAGAGTAGAACACCATCTCCAAGAATCACATACAGGAAGCCATCGGAAAGTCAGACAGAGAGCCAAGGTCTTTGTAATGAAATTAATCAGTCAGATGAGGATACAGCAAATAAGAATGCTGAAATAGTTCGCCGGCCAAGTATAGCAAAGCTCAAGGAACTGTTTGAAAAGAGTGGAGAAGCAGAAACTCCAGGTGTTAGATTGTCCCGGAGCGCCAGTAGTGTCACGTCAAGAACGAGCCTCAGTGTTCATCCTGACACAGAAGGAGGCTTCCGAGTGAAACGTAAAAGTAGTCTCGGAGCGGAGGAGACTTTACAGTCGAAAAAGGCGTATGAAATCATAGAAAAATCACGTCAGCAAAATCTTAGTTCTTCATCGCAAGAATCATCAAAAATGCAAACAGCAACTACCACTCCAGTAACAGTTGTAAGTGCTGCCAAGCCACCCTCTAGTCCAGTGTATACCAGCCCTGTCTTTCGCAGAAGGGGAAGTCATGCCATGAATGAGTCTCAAGAAGATGGGTCAACTTCAGCTTTATTAGCAAGAGTAGATGATAGACCAGCCTTGCCAGTGAAGAAAAGTAAGTCATTTAGATATGCACGACCCATAGATTCAACGACTAACACCATTGCATCAACCAGGAGTCCTGAGCTGGCTAGAAAGAAAGCAGATATAAATACATACTTTAGTCTTGATCGAGGTAAGGGAGACAGCTCTGCACTTAGCAAGTCAGAAAGTGGAACTGTAAATTTCATTGGGGACATTCCTTCACCAAGAGAAGGGTTCAAATTGTCTGTGTATCAAATACCCAATGCTACTAATTCTTCCCAGTCTCTTACTATAAACTATAATGGTAAAGAACAAAAGGCAACTGAAAATAGGACAGATTCTAAGCCACAAATACCTCCAAAAAAGATAATTGGGGAACGCTTTAGGAATGCGCGGCCCCCAGAGTCTCTCCAGATCACCACACCTCAACCATACACATCATCTTCATCAACAACAACAACCACTCTACACACCCCACAATCTGCTCCAATAATGTTTTCATCCATGTTTGAGAATCCAACATTCTGGAATCGTTCCCAACACAATCAAATTGATAAATCAATATACGACTGCCCAAAGGATCTTCAAGCTGCTACAAGGACCGACTTTGATAATCTTTCTCATATATCCTCTGTGGCAACTATTCCTAGTACCCAAGTATCACAGGCCTCTCCTGTAGCAGATGCCAAATTAACTACTACAGTCTCTGGTCTATCACCTTCTTCAACACCAAGACCATCACCAACTTCAGAACTTACTCAAGATGTTACATTAAATAAGGAATACGTAAATGCTCGAGTAGTTAGAAATCCTAACGCTGATACAAAAGAATCAACAAGGTATGTTTATTTACCTCTCCCGTCAAAGAGAGGTTCACGGGACAATAAACAACCTCACGAGTATGCCAACTGTCCCTTAACTGGACAGTCCCAACCAGATTTTGTGGGAGAGGACCCAACTGATCTCTATATGGACCCTCAAGTTCTGAAGAAGGGGATTACTGGCAAATTTCCTGTTTATGATGAAGTTGTTCCCTCACCTCAAGCCAAAATATTTGAAGCTTCTCTTCTGAAATCTACATCAAAAGAAAATGTTTCCCTGCTATTATCAGCTTCTACAACACCAGTGTCAGCCAGCACACCAGTGTTAGCCACCACACCAGTGTCAGCCACCACGCCAATGTCAGCCACCACGCCAGTGTCAGCCACCACGCCAGTGTCAGCCACCACGCCAGTGTCAGCCATCACACCAGGCTCTGCTACTACTCCAGGATCTGCAGATTATGAAATGATGGATTTTGGAGAATCAAATGCAAGTGTAGATGAGGTGTTTGAAACAGTGAATTATGAACTGCTTGGTGCTAAAGACAGAAGAAATCATAAAAATGTGGACAGTAAAAGAGACTTTTACTCCAAGAAAGATCTGGATCCTATTGCCAGACAGGTATATCAAGACTGCCAAGACTACCTCCTCCATGGTAACAACAAATCACCAATGCCATCTCTTATGCCAAAACCACAGGAGAAAGAACTCGAAAAAGTAAGTAAAGCAAGTGAAGTTGCTGGTCAACATGGCAGTTCATCTCTAGATACGAGTATGGATGTTGATGAAGTCAGAAGTAAAGTCAATGTGGCACCGCAAGGTCTACGGACAAGAGAAAGAAGGAACAGTTACAGACAGGCAGTAAATCCAGTCACTCCGAATGAGTCTAAAACACCCGAAGAGAAGCCTCACCCAGCCACGGAACATAGCAGAAACATGCACAAGTACGAAACTATTTGGTTTGAAAATGGGAAGCACATGAAAAGACTAAACAATCCAAGCCCCAACAGCCAACAAAACTTACAGCACCACACCACCAAATCACCAACTTTCCTATCTGAGGGTGAGGAGTCATCTAAATCTAAAGGAAGTGGAAGCACTACTATGCATGCTCAACTTCCTGCATCTGAGGAACATGGACCAAACCTGAACTATAAATCTAACAGCAAGGATGCGCTCTTCAGGGAAAAACTGGAGGAACTACACACACTTGTAAACAATTTAGAAAGACAAAAGCCAGTAAGATTACACGCGGCATCTCCTGGATCTGTAGAGGACGATGCCAACTCTAAAGGCTCGGGGAGTAATAACAGTACCCTTCAGTCATGCTCCACAACATCCTCTAGATCCAGTGAGGCCCAAGAACCAATATACGCTAATGCCCATTTGCTACCGATTTCTCGATCCCTGTCAACTAATAAAGTGCAACAACTTCCTCCAAGAGCTGTGAGAAATCAGGAAATAACCGAGACAAGATCACCCCCTCCGCTCCACCACAGTAGGACTGAAGTTAAACTGGACAACACAGAGTCAAAACCAGATAGACATTCTCCTCTGATAAATGGAAACTCTCTGTATGGCACCATTGCCACAACTACTTTCAGAGCTAAACAACCTGGAAATAACACAGTGTCTCCTTCCTTCCATAACCTTGCGCAAAATCAGGGAAAACCACCATCGCCGTATCACAGTATGGTCTCCACTGCTACACTCCCAGCACGTGCTACCATATCCCCGACTCTCTATCACAATATCCCTCCTCCTAAAGGATTTGGAAGTGGAACATCTCCAAGTAATTCTCCAAATCCTCATCAAAGTCTTCAACAGAATCGTGAAAACCGTGAACCCCAGACATCCTCGCCGTACTACAACATGTCGTCGTTCACCAGCGGTAGACCAAATCAGATGCAAAGAAATATAGCGGCACAAGAACAACGGCAAGGGAACAAGTCTGGCATCTCTCCATATACAAACCTACCTCCCAACTCAGCCGGGGTACGCTCACACTTTCCCCATCATCAGCCAGCCAGAGCACACATTGTTGGTGATATTGCTTTTGTTGGTAAGTTACAAGAAGGTGATACAGTTGTAGCTTTAGTGACTGGTTAGAATGCTAAAGTTAATACAGTTTCTGGATTCAAGCAAATTTACTCTTTGTTTACAGAATGATCTTAACAGTATAGTGCCCCTTGAAGGAAATAGTTAAGTATCATTTCCGAGGAATATATTTTTTAATGATATAAAGGCATCCCAAGTAGTGTATGTATTGTTTATTTTCAAAGAAAGGATACAGGTCTTTTTTGCAGTCCTAAAATAATATAACTTGCATATGATGTACGATACTGTACTGTATATGGTTACAGTGGTCCCTCGGTTAACGAGCACAATCCGTTCCAGCAGGTTGCTCGTTAACCGAAAACTCATTAACCGATACCATTGTTTCAATGGTTTTTTTTTGGATAATTGGTTCCAGCTCACCGAAAATTGCCTAAATTCAACAAAAAAGGTAGAAAAGTACACTTACTTTGAGGTGTGTATGTAGAAGGCTCCTGGATGATGATGGGAATTAGAATGGGGGTGGAGGAGAAGGAAGAAGAGAAGGCATTGGGGTGGAAGAGAAGTCACCCCATGGCACCATTTCACCCATAAAATTTTAGTTCTCTTGGTGTATTTCAAGATAATTTTCTTTAAATCAACACTGCACTGCATTATATATTGTCAATATGTAAAATATATTTCAAAATGACCAATAATTTGCTTGGAAACACAGAAAAAAAGCATTTAGTTGAAGAGAGTCTCAAGCAAGATGTTACCTCCACTGAAAACAGAGAGAGACTAACGCCTGTCTGGTGTGTTAACAGGCTGGATGGCACGCTAGAAACTAGTTTCTTTACCTTCAATTATGTTCAATAATTGTTAAAATGACTAAAAAAGTTAATATTAAACTTTTAAAATTATTGAATAGTATAAACTTCTTGATATTTACTAAAATAGTAAGGAATTTAAGCCCTAAAACCGATTACTGTATTGGCGGACTAATACTACAGCTGGTGGACTGTCAAATGCAAGCGAAAACATGTTGAAGTCGGCTCGTAAAAAAATCTTTAATCGAGGGATTGCTCGTTAACCGAAGTTAAGAATCTTATGGAAGGTAAATCGTTAACCGAAATCTCGTTAACCGAGGGACCACTGTACTTGCCTACATTAAACAGTATTTCACACATCATTTATTTTTTAATTATTTCATTGCTTTATTATTTATACACTGTATTGCTAAATGGTTAACCTGAATATTCAAATGCAGTTACCTATATAAGTTTGAATGAAATTAATATTGGAAACACAGCTGCTCCTCGACTTATGACGGGGTTAGGGACCCAAATCCAGGTCGTAAGTCGAAAATGCTTAAATAATACATAGAAAATAAAAAAAATGGTGTGTATTTTTTTCTTCTCAGCACCACAAACTCTCACTTTTAAGCTTGTCAGCCATTTTAAAGTGAATTACAAACGAAAATTTTGTCAGTATACAGCATAATCACTAACGTTGGGACTCGAAAATACGTAATTTGACAAAACTTTGGTACGACTGAAGCGGTTGTATGTCTGTGTGGTCTTAGGTCGAGTATGTCGCAAGTCGAGGAGTAGCTGTACCTGTACAGTACAGCTTTTACTTAGGTTGATATGGAAAATATAATACAGCATTGACATTCTGTTGCCTGTGCTCTGATGCACTTTTTTGTGGATTTTCAAAGAATAAGTTATTTATTTTTGTTTTACATATGTTACCAGTACAGTAATATACTACAGTACACAGTCCTTTTCTCTGCAGTTGTCTGTTTTAGTGATACCGGTAAGTGGTGTTTTGTGGTTATTTTGCCATACTTTTTTTTCAGACAAATTAGAGCTTGCAGATTAGGGGTTGGATTCATGAAATATTGTATGATACACATTCCTTGTAACTGAAGATGTAATATATCTATCAGTGTGATGTAACTCATAATACAAAAATTATGACCTAAAAGAGCATTAATATTACACTTGAGATTCCCATAATTGGATCCATTCACTTAGCAACTGTTAGGAGATAAAATTGCACCTCCAGTCTCTGCTGAAGGTGGGTGGCTGACTAACCACTCAACAACAAAGAAAACCACCTCACTCAGCTCCTCTTCACACCTCACTTGTCCTACTCAGTTGTTGGCTCCCTAGGCCACATCTCTCATGTTACATTTATTATTAATGTATCATGCCATAATGGATGTTTATAATGTACCAGAGGCTGACTTTGGTAGTGAGTACAGTAGTATGTAAGTGGAGTGCTGTGGGGAGAGTACCAATTGTTTGGTGTTTTGAATGCCCAATTAGGGCAAAGTTTCAGAGTACCACTGTACAAATATGAAGGCAAACATTGTATAGGTGATAAGTCTATCATCTTAACTGAGATTTTCAACATGTACAATTGTGGAGAAAAAGAATTATGCAGGCAGGGAGGGAGAGAGGTGGTGTATGGGGGGATAGAGGTAGGTGGAGACTTGGCAATTAAAAGTCTGTGATTTTCTTTCCACACCACAAATAATTTTTTTAGTTTAATTATGAAGCAGGCACAGCTTACACTTTCTCCATGCCAAATTCTTTTTGTCCACAACTGCACTTCCAGATACTGTATGAGCTCAGTTTCCATATGAGCCAGGTGATGACTGCTGCCACATAACTTGAAAATATCATACTAGTGGCCATAACTTACTTAGTTAAATATTTTTCAAAGAAAACCTTATCATTAGGTGAAGAATCTGTGCGGCTGAGAAGACCCGGCCTGGTACAGCCTCCAAGGGTGGAAAATGCCAGTAGTAGTGACTCCCGGGGGTCTGATGGGGCTCCTGTAGCCCCTCCGAGAATTAAGAGGAATTCGTCCGCTGGATTGCCTCGGCATAGTGCTATCGACTCGTCTCCCTTTATCCATAATGAATGGCGTTGTAAGTACTATAATTTCATTCAGTTTGTGCACCATCATTTTCATGAGAGAGAGGGATTTTATGTCAGTGTCTGTGTAATATATTATGGATCATCTGCGGTGGTACAAGGTGAAGTGTATCCCTGACAATATGGTTTAAGTTATCATTGGTGTTTTATCATCTTGTCACTCCAGTAAAGTACTGTACTTGGGTGACAAGACATTATACACAATCTATATGTTAGGAAGAACAGAATGGTTGATGCAGTAAAGATTATACATATACTATTGTATATTCATGTCTTAAAGCTGATGGGTTTGAATTGAAAATACAGTATTAATAAATCAATATACCCTGTATAACATTTTATACACCCATATGTACTCAGACACATCCCAATACTCGTACTACTGTACATTACATCACTGACTGGTTGAATGCTCATGTGTGATGCTTGCCAAAACCTAATAACAATTACGTAGACTTAGTGATACATAATAAGAATGTACATAACAAGTGTCGCTGTGATCAATGCAATATAATGTAATGTGTTTTGCAGTAAAAATAGATCATATAGTGTAACCAAGAGTATACACAATACAAAGAAGGTGCATGATGTTACACCAGTGCGATGTTGCACCAGTGCAATGAGTAGTAATGGGAGGGACTGTAACTTTGTCAACTCTCTATGCAACTATGCAGTTTTCTCTTGGAAATGGAAATGCCAAAACTCAGCTTTGAAAACTCACAGGAAGTGAGTACAGAACTTAATGTTGGACAGCAAGTGAAATAATACCAATGATCAGTAGGACTAATATTTATCAGAATTACAACATTCTGACCCCGATCCTGTATTAACATGTTGAAGTGTTTCTGTAGACATCCTCGAAATTTTAGTTTTTGTACACAGTACAGGTATATAATTGTATTGTATCATAATAGGCAAAGTGTGCACAGATAATAATGCACATAGCATAGGCTGATGTGTGGGGGAGGTGAAGGTTGTTGGGAATAAGATTGTGTGACATAAATTGGCCACTCAGTGTATATACTGTAGGTGACAGTAGATACAGTACTTTGGAAAACCCATATACCCCTGTAAAGAGTTAAGACATAATTATGGTGTCTAGTTTCTACATTGAAATATAAAGCATACTGTACTGTACTGTATTTTTATTTAATATTATGTGTTAAGATCCAGTTACATATTCTGGATTAATTTAGTGGGTTTAATTCTTGTTAAATCCATGTCTTAACTAATACATCACAGTATAAGAATACTGTATGAAGAGGAAAAGAGTATTGTGTGTGAGTTAAAGAACCCTTAAGATAACACAGTACAGTACTGTACTGTATATTCATTATGAACATAGTGCAGTGCAGCATTATCATGAATTGTAAATTTATGAAGAAAGATATGAGAGATTAACCTTTGAAATATATTGCAGGTTTATCAGATACTCAAGACAACTACCGACAGACCATCCTCACCACCAAACAGGTAAGACTACTTATTATTACTGTACTTGTACATTAATATTGATACTGACTGAATACATATGACCCAGATTCTGAAACATTACTCATTTTTAGAGATAAGTGCAACCTGTTAATGCATGAAATTTTATTATATAACTACAGTATTTTTTATTTGTAGAAGTAGCTTGTTAAAGTGTGTTTCAGCCCCTAAGTAATATTTCAGAATTATGGTTCAGTGAATGAATGTCGACTCACATCCTGCCATGGCCCGTTAGGCAATACCTTTGACATCCTGGAATATGAGATAAAGTACTTTGATTGTGGGCAGTAAGATGATGTGTACATATTGTTTTATAGTAACCTCAACCTTAAGGAAGCCAGGAGTGTATCTGATCTGACTTCCTTACTTTTAAACTAAACATATTACAGCATTCATGGTTAAGAAATTTAGTTGTTTTCTAAAACCAGACTCTGCCATCAGAAGTAAGTGGCTTATATTGACTTGATTCTATCTAGTCACCCTAGAGCCTGATGGTGAAAAATACCAACTTTCTTGTTTTATACAGGAAGGGCTGAAGTATCACTTCTACTAGTCCGGGGTGTGATGTGTGGCTGGCGCTGGCTAGCAATTCCTGCTTATCTCTTCATGTACTCCATGAAGATACGACTATTGTGCTCGCGCCAGCCAGCCTGTAGGAGCATTGTGGTGTTATATTTTTGTGTTTAAACAGACTAATATATGTGTGTGCAATTGTGCTAATGAGTGTGTAGTGTTTGTGAAAAGTGCAATGTTTAATTCTTATATATTTTGATAAACAATTAAGTTGTTCAATTATATCTTGACAGTATTTACATCTTAGTATTAAATGTGAGTTTTTTGCATTTCACTGCTGTACAATTCATGAGGTTTTCCTTTTGACAAAATTAGTCAATAACTCACCAAGATGTCTGCTATTAGTGGCAGGTGTTTGTAGGGAGGAGCACAATATTGCTTACTTACAGGACTAGTGAAGTAGGTCTCCTCTCATTTAATTGATCAGCATTTTTATACTGGACTGTATCCTAGATTCATCAACCGGTTGAGTGATCAGTTTATTTTCTATACCTATTTGTTATTTAATTAAAAATTAAAAGAATATATAAATACTGTACTGTACTTTTGATGGAAAACAATACTGTACAGCTGTTTTAGTTCACAACAAGTCAGGCATTGAGCTCAGTACCTGCACAGTACATTTGTAGAGGTATGTACCGGGTAATGCTTCTTTGACCTGTCAGGAATAATTTTGCAATTCTCCTAAGTTTTACAGAACTGGGATGTAAAACATACCAGTGTAGTGTCCCCCCCCCCCCCAATAAAAAAATTTAGGTTGACTATTTTAACTGTCCAAAAAAGATTAATTTAGCCAATAATTTTTTAGTCTTTACTAACAACTACTGTACTAACCTCATAATTTTGCACCCTGTGTCAGCAGTGTAAAAGAGGAATACACCTGTGAAAATTTGCAGCACTTCACCCAAGTTACCAAGGCAATTTGCGATCAATTGCACCCAAGCAACCATTATTGATTACCATAATATTTTTAATATAATGGGGTCAATATTTTGCATGTGTAGTGGTGAAGCATTTTATCACAAAGCATCATCCTTATCTTTAAAAATTTATTCATCTTCTGACCAAACTTGTAAAGCTGATGCTTCAACAAGCTTATGGATGAGGCATCAGAAGAGAAATGCCTCTTTTAGAGACAATTATTGGTCACCCTGTCAAGACCATTGATAACGATGACCTGTATTTGTTCAATATTTTTAATGTAAACCATGGATATACATGCCACATACATACATGAATACACATATACATACAGAGTGAACCTTCGAAGATTCAGACCCAGTAAATTTGGACAAAATTGAGGGTTTCGGGGGCGAAGAAGCATTCCCAAAACAGAGCAAAGATCATCTTAAGCCTGTGTAATTAAGATGTCAGTGCGTGAGACACAGGTGCCCAAGGCAGGAAACATAAACAGAGTTGTCAATTGTTGTTTGTAGGAATATTATTCATTCACTCTAGTAATGATACAATGTTTCTCATTTTGTTATCATAGGTAATTGCATGGTTTATGTAATTTGTTTATCACTGTGCCCATCACCATTTTCAAATTAGACTACAAGATATGTATTTCTCCCATCTGTACGCCTGGCAACAGGAGCAGTAAAGGGAGTTAGCAACTACATTTGCTAGTTAGTGCATCGGTTGCTGTTGTAACTCATCACTCCTCCCTGCCATATTTCACTGGATTTGCTGTTATTATTAGTGTTTACTGACACAGTATAATAGTGCTTAATGGTGATTAATCATGGCATTGTAGCCAGGTTAGATTCGTCACTAACACCAGGTTACTGGGCCATGCTGTGAGGTGTTATGGTCGTTTTTCAACTCGTATTTTCGGGTAGATATACCTAACTTTCTTCATTTATTTTTACTCGGTTACATACACACAGCATCTAACATACATATTGTCAAAAACGTAAAAGAAATAATTGTCCTAAGGGCAAACACATGAGGGAATATACATTTCTTTGCACACAAGATAGCTGGCTCAGTGAGGGAGCGGGTGGAGAACGCAGAGTGTAGGGGGTGAGGAGCGTTGCTAGAGAATTGGCGTCCCAACTGGTCTCCTTTGCTATGATGAAGCAGGGAGTGTATGCAAATGGTGAATGTGTTAGACTTTCATTTGGCTTCTATTTACTGATTTGGCAATACAGTATTATTTGTTGTAACTTATTTATTGGTATTATATTTATTTATTCCTCACATTTCCTGGTACAGTACTGTACGGTATATATTATTTTAAGAAAACTATGGCTACGGGAGGAAAATACACACGTTTTTTCCTAAATACTCCCTTCTAAAATGGGGGGTGCGTCTTATATGCCATAAAATACGGTACTGTATTTTTTTTTTTTTTTTATAATTACTTATCGTTTTTATACAATTAGTACATTCGCCGGAAGATACGAACAATCAGCATTTTCTGACAGGTGGTCCCTTCTTTTAGTCCAGATGTTCAAGGGTTCACTGTATATTTATTATTATTATTAAGAGCACCCCCCAATTTCCCCAAAGAAGTTAACTTTCAACTATACAGTATTGAAAATCGATTATCTACACTTTTTTGGGGATGAACTTTACTAGTTTTTGTTTGAAAGTAAATATTCTCGGATTACTGTGCAACTAGATGCTTATAGTACATCATCATCAACACCACTCACTGGGGACACGTAAACTCCTCTCCACACACTATCACTGAGCCAGGTGCCTGAGTGTCCAATTTCTCCTTATTTCGTCTCCTGTATTATATGTGGAAAATTACAGTACTGTACTGTACATAAAAGAAAATTATTCTATACAGGGGAGTCCTCGGGTTACGCTCGGGTTCCGTTGCTGAGGATGTTCTTAAGTAAAAAACGTATGTAAGTCGAAACACATGCTATGTGCATACCATACTTTTTTTTCCCCAGGCATTAGCGCACCCGGGCACAAGTCATTTTATGACCCACATCAAGGCCTGGTGGTCGAAAATATAATAAAATAATAATAATAATAATTATAATATTAATTAAACTTAATATAAATTATAATAATAATAACAATACTGTAATAGTAATAATAAAGAGCCATACATAAATACAAAAAATACAAAAATATCAATGCAGGTGCTCCTCTATTTAAGAACTTTCAACTTACAAACTTTCAGAGATACAAACATCATCACTGAGGGGGGGGGGGGGTTACCTGCCAGAACATGTGTTTAATGCGGATGAGACTGGATTATTTTGAAGAAAATTCCAGATAGAACAAACATTACCTAAGAGGAAAAGAGTGAGCCAGGTTTTAAGGCTATATTGAAGGGTGTAGCTGTACTAAATATCCATAATCTTTTCATTTTTTACAACATGTTTGATATCTACAAGAGTAAAGTTGGACTTACAAACAAGCCTCAGGAACGTAGCTCGTTCATAAGTAGAGGAGCACCTGTAGTGAGAAATGATTTATGTATGTGGTGTTGTCAAGGTAAGAGAAACAATTGAGACCCTTGCAATTGTGTGTAAATGAGGCAGAAAGTCAGGTCAGCAACCTGGGACTTAGTCACAATTTTTCTGGTGCCATTGGCAGCAGGTTCTACCATTAGACAACAAATTATGCTTCCAATATCTTCCCAGGCGGTAGTACCTCCCTGTTTGATAGCTACCCAAGTCCTTAGATACATCTAAAATCACGTAATTTAAGAGAAAATAAATAAAATTACGAAATGCAGTAAATAAAAGTGGAATATAAGTGAACAGGTAAAAAAAAAATACTGTAAATTTAAAGTTTAAACTCTTTCGTATTGGCGGGCTATTGTAAGTCTGATGTTTGTGAGTCAGGGAGCCCCTAAATTCTTAAATTTCGGAGGCAAATTATGTATAATAAAAATGTAGACTTGTAAGAAAAAGTTTGGCATTTGGAAGTAAACAAAGGTTTGGCGGTGTGGAGAATGCTGACAATGTAACAAGGGAGGGTGGACGTTGCCTCAGCTGATGGCTGAGAAGCTAACTTGCTGGCAAACCAAATATTTTGCACCTGTGTGTGCTAACATGTTTTACTCCAATGACTTTAAAGCATCACTTTTTAAACATATCAAGCCAGCCCACACTGAAATCAGAGTTCAGTGGAGTTTTCAGCTCCGTATAGACTGTCCTGGTCATTTTACTTTTTTTAATACTGTACACTTTACCACTTTACATTTCCTTTTAGCACTGTTAAACTCAGTTCTATCACTTTGGTATTTGTTTGAGCACTTCATTAAAACAAAATAAAATTAATATGAAACAAATGGTACAGAGTTCACCTGGCCTGATGCTTGAATCACCAGCATCATAGGTAAAGCATCTGTGACCATGCTGTTTGTGTCATGTAAATAAAGCTGCCAGAATTTAGAATAACGCGATTATTCACCTCAAGTCATCCACACACACACACACACACACACACACACATTTCCTACTTATTGTTCACTTTGCTGCTAATCTCATCTGGTTTCTCATGAGTACAAATATAAAATTATTTTCAGTGGCGTAGCAAGACCATGTGCCGCCCCACCACAGCTACATCAAAGCATTTCGTTGAGAAGCTTCCTCGATAAAATTACTATTAGGTATAAGTTGCATGTGTCGGTCATTTATATTTTCAGTTAGTCTGTAATTTATTGTTCGGTCACAGCTGATGATGATCATTTGTATTTTCTGGATAATCTAAGAAAATTTGTGTTGTCATTTATCACCTAAAATTAAACCTACTCTATAGGATCAATGAAAATGTTGCTGTGTCCATTATCCTGTTTACATGTTAATTAACCTTTTCATTGCTAATTATTCTTTGAAATATATGCATAGTAATCATCTGGCATTAGCCTGCATGAAATTCAGTGTTAAACCGAATTAGCTGGAATTTTGTCTGACCTCTCTTGAGTTTTATCATTTGAACCACAGTTTGGTTTGTTTTACAAAAATAACTTTGCATTTCTGACATGGTTACCCTTCACTGTTAAAAATTTAAGGGCTGAATAAAACATAAGACAAAATGAACTGCATGTATTACACTTTTAATGGAATACTAAAAATATGTTATTGAATTAGATACAGGGTATCACTTTTTTAATAATTTTTAATCAATAAACCATATATTTGCTTTGTTTTCTAAATACTGTAATAGCTGACTTATACAGAAGCATCTTTTATTGCAACTTGCTAATTTACAATTTTTTTATAGCCTTGAGTAAAGCAAACACATCTATTTCATGATATTAACAGTGTATGGAATCACCTGAAAATAAAGAAATAATCCATGCAGTAGGTGTACTGCCCTTCTATTTTGTGAACATTATGCTCATCAAACATTCCTTTATCCGTTGATTAACTTGCAAGAATATTACGAAACACTATCTCTTGCATGTAGATCATGATGGGCATTATGCATACACATTATTTACATATTGCAAAACACAAACACTAGGATCTTGAGTGGTGAGCACAGAGCACTAACCTGTGTGGACACGTGGCAAACAGCAAACCAAGAAGTGAATGTGTACCGTACCGCTGATCGTGCTTTGCTGCCTGGAGTCCCCTATATTCGTGGGGCAGGGGATATCTGGGCATGGAAGTACATGCTTATTAATTATTGATAATGTATTATTATTTTTGGACCTATTACTAATACTTTTCAATAGTCGTCTACACCTTCATGTAAAAAGAAAATGGATCGGTTAATTTTATATCTTGGAAGGAATTTTGCCGCCTCCCACAGATTGCCACTTGGGGCAGTTGTTCCACTCCCCCCAATGCCAGTGATTATTACTGTACTACTGTACAGTATATGTGTTTCACATATTATCTTTATGATTAGCTTATAATCATTGTATACACCAAAAATCTTCATTAAAAAACATTGTATTGTATCTCTGCTTTTCTAATGGGAATCTATGGGAAAATTTGCTTTGATTTACAGAAAGTGAATTCATAAAAGGTTTTTCAGAAACAAAACCTTTTCGTAAATTGTAGGGTACCTGTACTCTCAATACCCAACCAGGCTGCCCTCTTAATTTGAACAGGGTTTTTTATGTTACATTTTCACTCCACACATCCATCTTACCATTCTCATTTTACCTGAAGATATTTGATCTTTTACGGATTGGTAGTTAGGGTTAGATTCCTTTATTGTGTAATAAAATGTAGATGTTGTCGGACCTTGCATGGGTTTTGATATGTGGTAGAAATGAGTGTTTATAAAGCTAGAATTATTGTGATCAAATATTCAGTTTTTCTGGTAGCAGATACATTACTGTACCAGTTTTGTGTCTACAGTCTACTTCAACATTGTATGCAATAATTGCTGAAATAAGTGCATGGCTTTTTCCATGTGTATTTTGAAGATTTTTTTTTCTTCATAGATTTCAAACATGAATATACTCTTAGATTTAAGCTACAAATTCAAAATAGAAGTTTTGATCCCCTTTTGTATTTTTTTTTTATAAAAAAATGTTAGAAAAGAAATTGAAAGTGAAGTAACAAAGGTGATAGAATATACTGTATGTGTTAAGGTGTTCTTGTTCTACTGCTTTAACATTAAATAGTCATGATACAAAAGTAATATTTAAAGTTAGGCATTGGATTTTTTTTTTATCTAGACACAAGAAGAAAACCTTTATTTTTATTTTTTTTTTTTTTTACAGAATTGGCCAATGAGTGATGATGAGCCCCCACCTGCTGTTCCTGCCAAGACTGCCGCTGCATACCAGTACCCTGATCCACCACCACCGCCCCCACCACCTCACTCTCGTATCTCTAATCTTAACCACCTACCTCCTACCCACTACTCTCCGTATACACAGCCACCCCCACCCAAGCCCATACAACCCCAGTCATCACACATATTGCAGCATCCACAACACCTGTCACAGTCACTCGCCACATCCTCACCCTCTTCAGTGTACCAGTCACCCTCGTCACTATCGCCCTCCCAGCATCCCAAACATCAGTCCCCGTCACACCGTCGAGATCCTCAGCACAGACTGCCAACAGAGCCAGAAACAATCCCAAACCAGAGGCCCTCGCCATCGACAAATCCAGTAGTATTAACCTCAGCCAATAATAATGCCTCTGTCGTAGCTCAGAGTAGAGTTGAGGATGTAGCAGCCAATGAGAGTAGTTCAGAAAGCTCTGATGATGAGGGTATTTTTCACAAGTTCTCAGCCCCTAATATCTTTAAAAAGTGGCGAGCCAACAACAAACAAATAATCCCACCAATGCCATCTTCTCCTAAAACTGCATTTTACCCACTTTCTTCTAAAGACACGAAGGAGGAGAAAGACACCCAGAAGGACATGAGGGGATTACGAGAAACAAATAAAGAAACTGGATTATCCTTGCCAACATCCCCAAAACCCCTAGCAAAGGCATTTGGAAAATTAAAACTGAACTCAAAATCAGTAGCAGCCAACTTCAAGTCTTATTTGAGCCAACGGGGGGATAAAGTAGAGGGTGAAAATAATGAGGGTGCTGGAGGTCTATCTGGACTATCGGGTAGCATTTCACCTAGCTCGCCCAGGACCAACACTCGAGGAATTCAGAAGAGTGCAAGCTCAGGGCCGGCCATTACTGCTTTCTCACAAGTGGTACAAGACTACAGTAAGTTATTTTGAACTTGTGTATGATATTAAGAAATATTGTTCATAATGATGTAAAACCAAAGGTAAAAATTAAGGCCTTAAAACTGTAGCAGCATTTGAGATTTTATTTTTTTTCTAAATGTATATTTATAGTTAAATTATCAAAGATTTTACAGGTACATATTATTTTTGCCTTCAGTGTAGGGAAAGGCTTATAGGGTATGTATAGTTAGGTACAGTATACAGCTCCTCCCTGACTTACAGCGGGGTTAGGGACCCAAATCCAGGTCGTAAGTCGAAAATGCTTAAATAATACATAGAAAATCTAAAATGGGTGTCTCTTTTTCTTCTCAGCACCACAAAACTCTCACTTAAGCTTGCCAGCCATTTTAAAGTGAATTACAAACGAAAATTTTGTCAGTACACAGTGCAATCAATGACGTTGGGACTCCAAAATACGTAATTTGACAAAATTTTGGTACAACTGAGGCAGTCGTATGTCCGGGTGGTCGTAAGTCGAGTAGGTCGTAAGTTGGGGAGGAGCTGTATAGAAGTACATACTGTTGTGTAGAGATTAAATATTTTTGAGTAAGTCATAAAATTTCTTGCTGTAACTGCCTTGGCCAGGACAATTTGGGGTAAGTACAGTATAGAAGGTGTCAGAAGTAAGTATTTAATGTGTAACTGTATACAGTTTTCAGTTAATGGTATAACTCACTTTCACAATTACAGTACAGTACCGTATACCAACACACAGTAACATTACTTCATTTTAGAAACATAATTCACAGTTCTTGTGGTTATATTTTGATATTGTGTACAGTACAGTATAGACTTACCAAATTAGCAAATTAAAGTACCTGTAGTCCTGAACTTTCCACCAAATGAAGATTTGTATTATTTTATTGTACAGTTGAACCTCATTAATCCAAACTACCTGTATATGGAGGTGATGGGTTGTAATAGCTGGCAAGTCAGATTGTAAGAAAAATTTGTATGGTACATACTGCTATCATGTTACCGGTGCAGGCAGTCCCACCTCATCAGTTGAGAAGCTTAGCACCTTGAAGCAGATGTTTGTTTTTTTTAGTTGATTTGTGGGATAATGTTGTTAATTGTGATGATGTAATTATAAATCTGAATGATTTTCCAAGATTTTGGGGAAGCTAAATTAACTATTATTGCTTTGTGGATGCCATTACGTCTGACAACACCCTGTTTTTACTACCTTTGTGGAATGCGTGTTGGATGCTAGTGTTCTCCCGGGATTTATATACTGTACATAAGTGTTACTTCTATTGTAATGGCGAAGAAAAAAAATTCTGTTTCCATGAAGGAATGATTAGAAATTTATTTTCAGTTAATTTTAAAATAGAAATTTGAAATTTAAATGTTATAAGACAATGATTTAGTAGTGCTGTTGTAAGTGCCTCGTCACCTCACCTTGCAATGTGTTACATTTACTGTATTATTTACTTTATTGTTACTGTATGTACATTTAAAAAATATTTGTTTGTACAGTAATTACAAATAGAATATTTTGTGGCAGCCAATGAGTATGAGTAACTGAGTATGTTTTCTGAGTAAATAAGGAAAATTGGCTATCTGGGTGATTAGTGGCCGGACTGTCAGTGTTTAGTAGAGGTTGACCAATTTGTTTATACTGTATTGACAATCACTGACAGGATGAATGAAATTACATCTGTAAGCGAATTAGAAAAGAAATACTAAAATATAATTTAACAACCCTAACAGCTATAGTCTTCAGATTACAACACTGTACTGTATGCTACAATCTGCTGTATAAGTTTACATTTCCTGCCTCCATTAAACAACTCACAGGTTAATAAGTTATAAGGTATGTATTTAAGATCCGTATAAATTTTGTTTCTGTAAATTACTTAACTAAATTTGATTTCTTCAGTGTTCCTTTATTTTTTCCAGAATACCCAACCCCAATACCAAAGAAACCAGCTGGCCCTCGTGACGTGCCAGCTCACATGAGAGGCTCCACACCAACCAATTCCCATGTCAGGCTTAAAACAGATCGTCCACGTCAACAGTACCTGTAGCCGAGTGCTAGTGGGCTTGGTCTTGCATTGTTCCAGGGTCCAAAGTAAAAGCTGAGACCCAGTTTCCTAAATGGAAGCCAAGGCATAGTCTACAGCAGCAATACCTCTGGCTGAACACTGGTTGGGTTGGTATTATGATGATCCGGGTACCCAAGTTAACGCTTAAACAGGTTGGTCGAACAGTAGAAGTTGGCTATTTTTGCTTTGTCTTAAATGTTTTTATTATCCATCAAGATAAATTTTCACTGTTAGAAAGAAATATTGATAAAGAAATTTTTTGAATGATTGATGACAAGAGGATTTGGTGTAACTTAAATTAGTCTTGATGTTTAAAGAGGACATTCTATTTATTTACTGTAAGCATCAAGTATTGCCAGCATGTAAACTTATACAGTGTACATGTAAATTTTTTTAGAGAACTGTGACTCACATGTGACCTAAACCTAATTCTTACCCAAGCACATTGTTATGCCCTCATTATTTTTAATTCTCTCTTTTTTTTTTTTTACTTATAGGACAGAGAAACAGTATTCTGTAGTGGTATCATATGCAGTGGGGCTTTCCATTATCCAATTAGGTTTTTGAGAAATTTAAAATGTTAAATAATGTTGATAAATTAAATATAAAAGTCCATAATTCTGATTACTGGTACTTTTAACTGCTTGTGTGTGATACCATAATTGCAGTATAGAAGAAGTTATTTTTAGTAGTACTGCAATAATTTACCTATAACACTTTTATACATATAATTTCCTAGACACCAGATACTCACGAGTCCCACCAAGTTTTCTCGAGATGTTGACTTATCAACGTCAGATTACTCTGTAATTTAAACTTCTCATTTACACAGTGGCCACCAAGTTGCTCAGACTTTGGTAATCACCACATTTATTGTTTTCCTTGATTTATTGATCATCGATAATCAATTTCCTACTCCAAAAAAGCTCTTAATATGTTTTAAAAATGCTTACTGTACATATATACATTTATTTAAGTCCTATTACGTCATCAGAGATGTGTGATTAATGTCGTCGTACAAGTTCATGAAAATATTATTTATATTTTCGAATGGCAAGCTGAGCAGGTCATCCCAATGGCTTCATAGAATTATCAGCTGCAGACTGTATTTCACATTCATGACATACCATCAAGTTCTTAGATGTACTTGAGATAATATGAAGAGGTTACTCTTTCATTATCAACTTCTTGCTTGGTGAATAACATTAGGAAATAATTCTCATTAAAACGGTATATAATAACATGTCTTGAGCACTCAGGCAGACTTGAGTGTGTGCCAGAAATGTGACCTTTGGATAGTGATGTGTAATGGAGAATAATGTATAGCCATCACAGCCTGTAGAGCACTGCCCTGTACATAGCAACTTTGTTGATATATTTAATGTGCATTTTAGGTGTAAAGAAGTTTATGACACTTGTATAGTAATAGATGACCGTTTTGCATTTTCACCATTGTTTAAATTGTTTGTGATATAGACAATCATTTGTGTGCCTAGCTGTCGAGACCAAATAGATGAAAGTAAACCAACAAATAGGGTATGCTTAGTTTACCACTATTTTTTACAGTTATTCAGTGTCCATATTTCTTGAACAGTGCATCACTTGAACATCCTGCTTTTAAATATTCCTTGTGGATCTCCCCATATACACAGGGTGGTGCATGAAAAAATGCTTGAATATGACAGGCTGGTGTCCTGGAATGCTGTTTTATTTTTTCTCATACACACTTCTTGGACTACCCTGTATTTACATGTGTTTCTAACCATTGAGTTTGTATAGAATTCAGTGTGAGCAATAACACCTTTCTCAATGATTCCTGTTGTACTGGTGATGCGTCGTCTGTTTCGGAATTATACGTAAATTTCATTTTACTGTACATACTAAGTCAGGAGATGTAAAGAAAAAGATTGGTCTCTGGTAGACCCGTTTTTGAATGATTGTATAGTTTGTGTGCTGTGTCTGTAGAAAATATTATCCATCCCTCCAGGAGAATTATATTATTCTAAATCTTTCTTCCTGGTTAATTTGTTGATTACAGTTTATAGAATAAATAATAATCACAGTATGACTGAAACTGAATCCAAGTCCTGTCTGTGCTCTCTAATCCCAGGGATAGTTATTTGCTGCCTAAGTCTATTGCATCTGTTATGGAGAAGCCAAAAATGCCATGTCATTATTTATTCATTGTATTGTATTTTAAAAAATCATTATATATTGTAACTGAGTAACTGAACCATTTTTCTAGCTTTATTTTATTATTATAATAAGAAAATACCTTCCATATCCCAGTCATATTTTTATTTGATTATAAAAAAATATCTGTATGACAAGATGATATTGGAAGGGTGTACATAGCTCATTAACTACTGTGAAATTAACGAGTTTAGCATTATTACATTGGATCCTACGACTGTTCAAGAAAAATTTAATGCAAGATAAAACTTATCACAGGAAATGGTACCAGTACTTACCCATCGTGGGGAGAAGTGGAAGTGATCTCCCAGTTTGCACGTTTAGTTTCTGTGTGTAATGTGCCATATTTAAAGAACTGTACAGCTGATGCTCAGCTTGTTCATACTTTTATAAGACTAAGTGAATAACTTTAATATCAGTGCTGAATAATTCTTTTTTTATAACTTTTATTATATATATATATATATATATATATATATATATATATATATATATATATATATATATATATAAAGTGAAGAGAAACTGTAATATAACGAGTAGTAAGCATAATGAAAAAACATAAATTAATCTTATTTGCTTTATGAATTTTAAGAACATTCTTTTTTTTTATACTGTAGTGCAGTATAATACACAGTATAATTATATAATACATCATATAATATGATAATAGTCACACGTGTGACTGCTTAGAAAAGATATCCATACACGGTATTCTTATCACAAAATTCAGTCTCGTCTTTATACTGTACTAAAAATTAAGTAAATTTTCTTTGTACGACAATAAGTGATAACATTGAACAGTAAATCGTGCGCCGATTAATGAATATCGATGTGTCATTCACACTCGCTGCACATGTATGTACAGGTAACCCTCATTTAATGATTGGGATGCATTCCTGCAAAACAGATTTTTAAGCAAAATGATCGCTAAACGAAGGATAACGTGAAATAATATCCTCAACAGGGGATAACGAGGATTAATATCCATGGAAATGGCATGTAATTGTGTAGCCGAGTCCCGGACTCGCCACCCAGTAGCACTTAGACCAGGTGAGGCTGAGCTAAGTTATTGTTCAACTCGTAATATCAAATAAATACTGTATACATAATTCTTTTCTTTTACTTTGTTACATGAACACACAATCATTCATACAGAATGTGCAAAAAAATAAAAATAAATAAATAATTATCATAAGGTTAAAAACAAAGGTAATAAAGATTTTTTATGTACTCAACAGTTAGCCCACAGAGCTAGGGGAGCGGTGTGGGGGATCTCTCAGCTATTCTCTTGTCTTGTGTCCCATAGGGGGGAGGGAGAGTGCGGCTGGCCAGTTACAGCTCACTTCCCACAAATACATACCCATTCTCTTCATTTTTCTTATTTTATAGTTTTATAGTAATGTACTGTACAATAAAATTATAAAATACAGTACAGTATACAGAACAGCATTTTCTTTATTTCTAAGCCACATTATAGTACAGTACAGTATTGTAATGATGTGCACTTGGAGCACAGAATCCCCAGTCTTTTCAACTTCCATCCCGAATTTTTCCCAGAGTCGAAGATCGCCAAACCGAAAATTGACAACTATTAAATAAGAGTAAAAAAAATTTTAATTGCTAAACCGAAAAATCGCCAAGTGAACGATAGTTAAATGAGGGGGATTCCTGTACTCCACATTAAAATAATGTTGAGTATATTATACTTTCATTTACATTTCATTCTTTTTAACTTCAGCATCACTTCAACTTTTAGTGTTTAAATGAACTTCTGTGTACAGGTACTGCAGCAATAAATTTAATTATGATGGCATTTTGAATAACTGCACCAGGTACATTATCGTTATATTTAACTAAGAAACTCGAGAAAACAGGAAACAATTACAATATACAGGAAGTTCTCACTTAACGTCGGGGTTACATTCCTAAAAACGCGACGTTATACGAAACAACGTTAAGCGGATCAATTTTCCCCTTAAGAAATAGATAAAATACGGGAGTTACGTTCCCCAGCCTCCTTTTGCCGCATGAATACAATACATATACAGAAAATCATTGCCACCCCTATAGAAAACAGCATACAGCGTGTGTTTATATATATATATATATATATATATATATATATATATATATATATATATATACAGTATATATACAGTATATATACAGTATATATAAATAACTACTAAGTTTGTATTGGTACTCGCCAATGGGCGGAGGTGGTAAAGTGAGTGTGTGGTGGTTAGTGGAGCGAAGGAGGATGATGGCGAGCGGAGGAGGAGGGTGGGAGCGGAGGAGGGTGGAGTCACTGAGACTCTGCGGCTGCCTCCTCCCCCTCCTCCTGTTCTAACTGGGGTTCCTCCGCCGCTGTTTGCTCCTCCTTGGCTGTCGGCTGTTGTGAAGAAGCTACTTCTGCCGTCCCACGAGACACAAATGAATCCAGTGTTGAATGTTCGGTGGACTCCTCTTCTTCTCCTTATACATCTCAGTGTAACAACCAAGACTGTCATCAATGCTGCATTGAACCTTTGAGCTACATTCTCTGTTTGGATCATCATGTATAAGGATTTGCATTGCTTGCTGGAACATGTTGAACGCTTCTGTCATCCTCTTGAAAGTTAACGTTCGTTGAGGTTCTACTTCGTCGTCTTCAACGGGACTGTGTTCTGTTAACAGTTGCAGATCTTCGTTGGTGAGTTCTTCTGTATGGGATGCCAAGACGTCCTCAATATCCTCTGATTCCAGCTCATCAAAGCCTGCCTGTCTAGCTAAGCTGAGGATATCCCTATTCACAGCTGGGACTAAGTTTGTGAACCCCGTAAAACTGTTGATGCGCTCGAGCCACAATTTACGCCACACACCATTCAGACAACTTTCTGAAACCTCTTCCCATGCCTTGCCAATGTTATCAATTGCATGAAGAATGTTGAAGCCACTCCAATATTCTCGGATCATAGGTTTATTTTCTCCGTCTGTAGCCTTGAGCAGCTGGGCCATGGTACGGCGTAAATAATTATTATAATATGCCTTGAATGTGGCAATGATGCCTTGGTCCGTAGGCTGCATCAGTGCTGTCATGTTGGGAGGCAGGAATACAACTTTTACACTGTCATGCAAGTCGTCGAGATTGGGAGGATGAGCTAGAGCATTGTCAACGATCAGAAGAATTTTGAAGTCAAGGTTCTCCTTGACACAGTATTCCTTTATTGCAGGGACGGCGTACACGTTCAACCACTGGCTAAATATGGCGCCGGTTACCCAATGCCTTCTTATTTGCCTTGTAGATTACAGGAAGGTGATCCTTAGAGTAACCTTTCAGGGCTCGTGGGTTTGCAGCACGAGAAATCAGCAGAGGCCTCAGCTTGAAATCACCGGCAGCGTTCGCGCCAAGCGGCCTTTTGCCGATTTAAAACTTGGCTCTCTTTTCTCTTCCTTGGAGATATAGGTCCTCTCAGGCATCCTCTTCCAAAAGAGACCAGTCTCAACCACAGAGAAGACTTGCTTCGATGAGTAGCCTCCTTCCTGGATAATCTGCTTGAATTCAGGCGGGAATGTCTCGGCAGCAACCGTATCTGGACTAGCAGCTTCACCAGTCATCTTTATGTTGTGGAAGTTATAACGACGCTTAATTCATTGAAACCAGCCTCGGCTGGCCGTAAAGGTCTCTTCCTTTCATCCTTCACCCTCTTCTGCCTTTATATCGTCAAACAAGAATCTGGCCTTATGCTGGATAACCATAAGGCTCACTGGCGCATTGCGTTGATTTTGGTCCTCCACCCACATAGCCAGCATCCTTTCCACTTTTTCTATCACAGTGCTTCCAGTACGAGCTGTCTTAGTAGCACTCAGAGAAGAACCACTCCCAGCACTAATCTTAATCTTGTCAGCGTTGGTTCGGATAGTACGCACCATTGTGGGGGTTAGACCAAGCACAGCGGCTATGTCCACAGCACGTTTCCCTTTATCAAATTGGATTAATACATCAATTTTTGTAGCAAGGGTAATGGTCATACGTTGCCTCTTCACTACACTAGCACTTGATGGCCGCTTGGAAGCCATTTTGAATGGTTAGAGTACAGTTTTAGAGCAAAAACACTTAAGCACACACGAATGATGTGAAGTCGTAACAGAGAATGGCTTGGCGTCGCTGTGATGTTCCGCAAGTGAGGGCAGCGCGCCGAGCCGAGAGAGCTTAGCGCGACCAGACAAGAGCGGGTGATGCTCCGTAGAAAGTAGTCCGTGACATCGCAAAACGACATAGTATTGGATCACCGGGACGTTAAACGAATTTTTGGTCTCTAAAGTTTAGCGATGTAGTACCGAAACAACGTTAAGCGAGGACTTACTGTATCACTCAAAATTTTGATAGGCTCATTTTTAACAAATACATATCTTAATTATCATATTGTATATTTAGCCTTTCTCTGCATAATGTGTTTTCAGCCAATGCTTATTTCTTAATACAAATATCACATAACACAACTGCATTACAAGCATTAGTCACTTCACTGTATGTTATACTGTATATGTACTTCTCCACCACAGACATTTCGTCACTCATTTTAAGCAGTGCACTATTTGTGCTGTGAAAATATTTTCTTTACAAATTATCATTACAACCCCATGTGCTAAATTCCCAACAACAGTGTTGAAAATATCCACTGTGTGATTCTGCTGTGGCTGAAATGTTTTGGGAAAATTTTAACGTGTTATGTTGGCTCAAGATCCAGAGGCAAAAATAATCACAGATTTGGATAGACTGGTGGTTAAAACCACATAGTGAAGTATTCTCCATGTCCTTGCTCTCAGACACAGAAATGTGTATGGAGAGTATGCAAACATAGAGAGGAAAGGGAATGAACAGCGCTTAAAAATGTTGGTATTAATTAGGAAAATTAAAAAATAAGAATAATACAATAACACTGAATTATAGTTTGTAATGTCATTTTAAGATGGTAATAATATTAAATTATCAATGTGTCTCTATATTACCTCAGCTTTGTTTGGTGCAGGACTTGAGGGTTGGTCACTTAGATCTTAGAGAACCTTCCACAAACACCTCTGCCATAAACCCTCCCACACTCAAATGTTCATATAACACACTGTACCATCTTAACAACTGAATTGAAATGAGTTATTTACAGACTGATAGTTAAAACTATCATAAACACCTGGTAGCAAAATGTAAAACTGTTTTTGTCTTTAAAAAAAAAATATGTCGTAGGTCTTGGTTACACATTTATTGTATTCATGATCAATAATTGTGATCTTACAATTTTGAAAACATCCATGGTTGTATTGGAATGCTTCAATAATTGATAATTTTTCCTGCCATAGATTTTATTTTTTTTGCAGTGGTGAAAAGTTATGCAATTCTTTATCAAAGGAAAATATGTTAAAACTTTAATTTTCATCATAGGTCATCCAGTAGCTGTTTTTTTTTAGCTTATTACTATAGCCCAACTTAATGAGCAATAATAATGTCAAACTTATATATTTTCTTTATAATCTAGAGCACAGTACATTATGTATACAACACTTACCAAAAGAAACCTATTTATTTACACTTTGGGACTGCAAAGGTTTCCAACCAGGGCCTTACACTATGCAAATGTAAGTGCACATGAATAACAATTATAACATAAAATTTTAAAGCTGCATAATTAAAAACAAATGCAGAGGGATGCACGTAACTTCTCTTAGGATTAATAACATTACATACAGTACAGTATTGTATTACATTTACATTATGTAAATTTTTTGGGTAGCAGAAATTTTTCCCACAATGTAGATTTATTTTATCAATCGTACTCAACTCACAGCATGCTGGGGTGGGAGAGGTTAAACAGCCGACCAAGAACTTGTATAAATTGATTAATCCTTTTCTTGAGAGGCATAATACACTTTCTTCCAACCCATGTTGCTGGTAACTAAGTAAGAGTGATAGGTAGATTATTAAAAAATGCACCACAGAAAGTTTTACACAAAAGTTACTTATTCAAATATAAACTTGTCCGGTGACATTATATTGATTAATGAGAATTTATGTACTGTATACAGCATTTCTGTTATTATCAGTTCAACCGCGATTTTGTTAAATAGTCTACTCTGCCACATACAGGCATCATTGAGAAATTATGAAAAAATGCTCAGTGTTGTACTGTACATACGAAGTCCTTTTAATGAGAACTTGCTTGACTTACCTAAGTTGGTTCTGTGCATAAGGCAAGATGTTTGTTTGCTTGTGCCCGCTACACACAAGCTTCTGAGTGAATCTGAATATGGCGGCAAATTTTTCCTTTTAAATGATAGTCTTCTTAAGTAATGACTACTAAGTGTGATATTTTAATGTCTGATTACTCTGTACATATAATCTTAATCACGATAATTAAAATTTTGTTGTACAATTCATGTTATAAAATGCTTTCTTCTGATATAAATTTGTTTTATTACCCAAATATATGTGTCACAATAATGATACTGTAAAAAGTTTTGAAAAAGAAATATTAATTTAGAGGAAACTACAGTTCTTGGGCCATTATTTTACCTTACAGCCACCTCCAGCCCATTGTGCACTCCTGGTTAAGACTGCCCCCCCCCCCCCTAAAGATTATCAAATACTATAGAACCAGTAATTAGATAAACCTGCACACAAACTTCTAAGTGTTACAGAATCTTGTACAGTAACATGTCCTTACCAAAAATATCTTCATCCATACTTTACTCAACAAAGTTTTCCCTCCAGTTTGATCAAAGTATTGTCGAGATATTATCTAAGAACAATGGCATCACACCCCCCTCCATGAATTCTCGTGTCTTCAACTAAATCTGATTTAAAAGAAAACTTAAGACACCCTAAACACTGAAATGACTTATCTCCAGAATGAACTCTCATATGTTCTTGAAGTGTATTTTTTTTTATAAAACTTTTTCTCACTCTGGATACTGAACTGAATTCTCTCCAGTATGAAGTCTCGTATGTTTTATAAGGCAAGATTGTACTGAAAATATTTTATGACTTTCTGGACAATGAAATGGTTTCTCTCCTGCGTGAACTCTTACATGTTCTACAAAATGATATTTTCATGTGAAGTGTTTATGATAATATGAACACTGAAATGATCTCTCTCCTACGTGAACTCTCATATTTTTTCTAGCTCAGATTTTACTGAAAATTCTTCATGACATTCTGAACACTGTAATGATGGTTCTTCTAACTGAAGTTCCATTACAAAATCATATAACTCAGGAGTATGATTCTTTGTTTTACTTAACAAACACTTCACCTTTCCCAGTATGGTAAAATGTCTTGTAAATTCTAATCATATATTGTACTGCCTTACACAAAACAATAAAATGTAGTAAGCTTAATAGCTTATGTAGCAAAAGTGATAAAATGTCACACATGTAATAATACTCTTTCTTCCATGCTGTCCAAATAAGAGCTGTGAATACAATGGGTCAAGTCTGTAATAATATTATTATGTTATTAATGGCAGCAGTTGAGTGAATACAGCACTCACCTCCTGCTCCTGGGGTCGGGGGTTCAATTCCAGGGCACTTCCAGTTCACCCAGCTGTAAATGGGTACCTAAGTTTACAACTTGGGGAAGTGAAGGCAGTTGAGTGTAGTAACGGCCATGCTGCCGCCTCCTTGTGTATCAAAGTATACAGTGTGCTGTATCTACACTGTTCCTAATGGGTAGTCATGCCTATGGAACCCACTCTCACTTTACAATGGGAGCATTACTATCATTTCCCCGAAAACTAACTGAATCTTACATTAAAAATATATATATATACACCATAAGTTTTTCTGTTTAATATACCAGGGATCTGGGGGTGGAGCCCCTGTTTAAGGAAGTTAGGTAAGGTTAGGTAGTTTTGTTTGGCTAGGACGCCAGGTGTTTTTCATACTCACAAAGGTTAAGTTACGTTTATTTTAGAAATAACCATTTTTAACACATTTGCACAAACTATAACAGTGTCCACTATAAAAAACTGAATATCCAGCCTTTTTTAAAATCGTTTAAATTAAATTTCGGCCGCGGGTTAGTCATCAATAATTACCGTTCAGCCCATACTCATCTTACGAGCTGTTGCGCAAAAGGATTACAGAGGTCACAAAAGTAACCAACCCCAGCGGTCAGGATATTTAATATTTTGACCGCTGGAGTATTATGGTACAGTATTGAATGTTACAGAGTATTTCAAATAAATTCTTTGTTTAGTTCTGTACATAGAGGGTGACTTATTCGCTACTGTGTGAGCCAATACGCAAGGAATATACTGTACTTGGTACAGATTCAAAGAAAAGTAACAGACGTGACCGATCGCCCAAGTGGCTAACGAGCCGATCAGTGGTGAAGAGGATAAAAGTAAAAGTAAAACCGCCACTTTATAAACAGAATCGCCGCAACATCAACAAACTAGATTGCAACGTTATTTCAGATTAGAAAATTACAGTGACAGATCTTATTTTAAAAATTTCCATATTAATTATTTAATTTATAATTTCATATTCAGATTAATTTATAAATAAGATTTTCTTTCGGAGAAAAAGTTTGTTTACAATTGGAGCCGCAGACTCGCAGGGGACTGTCCGAGTGACGGTGTAACAGTTAAAGTGAAGCGTTAGGTAAAAATGAAGTGCCAGACGTACGACTCATTCGGACTACGGCGGACAGGGGCCGGTCGGCGTTTCTCCTCAGTTCGCCTCAGTTGAAGTCAGTTCTGTGTTGGTGATGGACATGCATTCCTGAAGCGTACGTGTTTACGTTTGGTATAGCTTAAATCATATTATTTTAATTAAGATTAATGAGTGTTACCCCAAGGTCAGGATATTGTGTGTATGATATTATGGTAATACAGTTCAGTGAGTGCTACCTTAAGGTTAGGATGTTGTAACTTGTGAGTGCTCCTTTATCATGTTGGCGTCTACAGCGCATGTGTGGGGGTGGTGTGGGATTTTCTTATTGGCTATAGCGAAAGGAGACTTATAATTAGGCAAAAAAAATGTTTGTCTTAGTCTATGAACAATACGTGGGTGCGTCGGGAGCGGAGATTTGATTTTTTAGTACCAGAATAACCAGATATGGCTTAACAGATGTTGTGATAGAGATTATTTTACGTCAATTGCAGTTTCATCAGAAAAATAGTGTTAGGTTAGGTAGGTCAGGTTAGGTTTGGTTGGTTGGTGGTTTTTTTTATTTATGTGATGTACTCGAAACAAATTACATTTTCGTTAAGATTGATAGGAGGAGGAAGTATTTAAAAAAAAAAGCTATTGATTTCCGGCTGAAATGAATATCAAATTCGTTCGAAAATCGTCAGATAACATCGGAAAAACATATTTTTAATATCCAAACAAAGTCCAGTGCATAAGTGAAATTTGGCCAAATTGGATATTTTTAAACCCAGTTTCAATGAAAAACAGCGGACGGTCACGATCTGAGTCATTACGAGAGCAAGTTCTCGAGGGATGGACCGTCTAGATATCTGAAGACCTTATAAGACCCAATAATGTATTTGCCTGATTTACCTTCTTCTCGCAATGGCCCGAGAACTTCAGCTCATTTGTCAACATACACACACACACACCTAGGTCCTTCTCACATTCAGTCTTAAATAGTGCAGTTTCTTCATCCCGTCGAGACATAGGATACGCCTCCTTACCGTTGGTACGCCCCAGGTGCATCCTCTTACACTTCGTGACATCTCAGCAGCCATTTCTTCGACCATTCTTGGAGCACACAGAGGTCCTTCTGCAGCTCTTCACAGTCCGCTTGGTTCTGCCACATGTACCACATATAGTGTGTGGTATTTAACATGTGCTACCACATCTAGTGTGTGGTATGTAACATGTGCTACCACATCCAGTGTGTGGTATTTAACATGTGCTACTACATTTAGTGTATGGTATTTAACGTGTTACCACATTTAGTGTGTGGTATTCAACATGTGCTACCACATCTAGTGTGTGGTATTTAACATGTGCTACTACATTTAGTGTATGGTATTTAACGTGTTACCACATTTAGTGTGTGGTATTCAACATGTGCAACCACATCTAGTGTGTGGTATTTAACATGTGCTACCACATCTAGTGTGTGGTATGTAACATGTGCTACCACATCCAGTGTGTGGTATTTAACATGTGCTACTACATTTAGTGTATGGTATTTAACGTGTTACCACATTTAGTGTGTGGTATTCAACATGTGCTACCACATCCAGTGTGTGGTATTTAACATGTGCTACTACATTTAGTGTATGGTATTTAACGTGTTACCACATATAGTGTGTGGTATTTAACATGTGCTACCACATCTAGTGTGTGGTATGTAACATGTGCTACCACATCCAGTGTGTGGTATTTAACATGTGCTACTACATTTAGTGTATGGTATTTAACGTGTTACCACATTTAGTGTGTGGTATTCAACATGTGCTACCACATCTAGTGTGTGGTATTTAACATCTGCTACCACATGTAGTGTGTGGTATTTAACATGTGCTACCTGCCACTCGTACCGTTGTCACAGCTGAAGGTGTAGAAATACTTTAATTATTTACATTAATTACAATAATCTGAACAGACTCCATTTCATAGCACATAGTTATTCTACTAATTAATGTGTGCAACATTTTTTAATTAACTATATTCAATTACAGCAAACTCAAATGTCAGCACTCAGATTTATTTTAATGTGATTCGAAACAACTGACTATATAGTTACTATTGTTTTGTACCACACAGTGATGAGTTCCAAGAGAAACATGTAAGCAGATATTATTAATGTAAACTGTTATGTGATGTAGGCCTAAATAACATGAGCGGAATAATTTGACCCAATAATTATCCACAAAAGAATGGAAATCCTTTCATAATACGGTGAAGGTTCTGTTCTACTATCTGGAAAGATCTCCTTTGGTAAGGTATTAATGTATTAATACTGTACAGTTCAATGGTTTTATTTATTCCTATACAGTATTAACTTCAATAAATATACATACAGGAATCTAACAATTTCACATATGACCGTTTGAAAATCTGGTATCTACTAGTAGACCATCAGCTGTGGAAATAAAACGTTTTTTATAATAAAAGAGTTTGTTTCATTATATCTTAATTAATTGAATTATTATAATGCTATCATTCGCCACTCACCAGCTCTGCAGCCTCTGCTCACCACGGAATCTCTGAGCGTTCCGCTGGTAGGGCCGTACGATATGTTGGGCAAACACCTAATTTTTACCGAGACTTCACTTTTAACTGCTACAACGGCGTGAGTGTAAACAACGGGAGAGTTGGCTAATCACTTTTTTCACCAGTAAATCTTGTGAAATATAGTTTCACCAACAGTAGGTTGGATAAGGAAGAATTATGGGGTCGTACCTAGAAGATATGAAAACATATTTCAAGACGCACAACAAACAGAAGGAATACGTGGGTCATAACTCTAAGGTCCACACCATCGGGTGGAACGCTGACGGTCGTCGCCTGGCGTCTGGCTCTTATGACAAATGTGTCACCATCTTTGTGTTTGACGGCCACCGCGAGACTCTGGTGAGATCCATTATCATGCCACCTTTACGTGGTTGTTACTTCGGTCTTTTTATATTAGTGCACCGTTCTATCTAACCTAACCTAGCCCCCTTGTACCCTCCCTGATTAGGTTAGGTTTGGTTGGTTTTTGGCGATTTTCTATGGTTTTTAAAACATTTCTAATACCCAAAGAAAGAACAGAACACTACTATAAATTGACCATTACTTCTTAGCTTCCTTGTGGAGTCATATGTTAGATCTTAGAGTATAAAGCACACTTGTGTTTTGACTTAGGGTTATACAGAACTTCGGTGTAGGTCGTTGTTTCCCTAACCATTGGGGAGGACACTGTCTAAGGAGTTAATATTCGCCCATTGGCTGTCTGCAGGTTTCCAATTTTCAATATTACAGACACAAAGACTATAAAAAAAACATACGACATCATATAATTTCTTGTGCAAATCAATATTAACGGAATATCTCACAAATTTCTAGCTGTAAATTCCTGTAACCACCATGTTGCCAGAGTCACCTCTCTCCTCCTCTTCTTTGTGACATAAGAAAATAAGGAGTCTGCAATAGGCCAGTTGGCCTGTGCATGGCAGCTCCTGTCGAGAGTTACTACCACTCTATCATCCATGAATCTATCTAGCCTCCTTTTAAAATATTCCAGCACTTAGTACAAAGTTGCTAAGCTTGTTCCGCTCGTCTACCACCCTATTTGCGAACCAGTTCCTTCCTATCTCCTTCCCAATCCTAAACTTATCCAACTTAAATCCGTTGCTACGAGTCCTATCCTGCTTGGATATTATAAGAATTTTATCTATATCTCCTTTATTGATTCCTTTCACCCACTTAAACACTTCTATCATATCTCCCCACACTCTTCGTCTTTCTAATGAGTGCAAGTTTAGTTTCTTTAATCTATCTTGATATGGAAGGTTTCTAAGTCCCGGAATCATTTTTGTCGTTCTTCGCTGCACTGACTCCAGTGTATTGATATCCATTCTATAATAAGGGCACAGAACTGAACAGCATAATCGAGGTGCGACCTGACTAGCGTAAGATATATTTGCAATATGACCTCCGCATTCTTATTACTTACACTTCTAGATATAAAACCTAATACAGTACTCTGCCTTATTTCAAACATTAACGCACTGTTTTCTAGACCGTAGGTCTGGGCTTACAAGTACCCTTAAGTCTCTTTCACAAGTTGACTTCTCTAGGTTGATGTTGTTAAGGCTGTATGCATTGACAGTACAGTATTTGTTTTTCCAATATTAAGTATGCTGCACTTGCTGGTGTTGAATTTCATTTGCCATTTCTCTGACCACTCCTGCAGTTTATTTAAAGCCTCCTGTAGTGCATTTGCATCCTGCCCTGAATTAATCTGCCACCCTATTTTGGTGTCATCCGCAAACTTGCTTATGTCACTGCTGATCCCAGTATCTTGATCGTTTATGTTGATTATGAACAAGAGTGGTCCCAGTACTGACCCCTGGGGAACCCCACTGGTTACACAGCCCCATTCAGCTTTAACGCCATCTATGCTGACCCTCTGTGTTCTATCGGTGAGCCAACTTGCCCCCACCCATCCGAGCAAAGACTATGCTCTCTTCCTTTAAATCATTTCTTAAAAAATATCTATTGTCTAAGTATTAATATTTCTTGTAATACCTACTATATTTACAGTACCTGCTTTTATTGTACCATCAAAACCGTTTTATTGGAAATTATCATGTAAATAGATAAGAAATTACTATTGCAATAAACAAACTGTATATTTGCCAACTATAAATAATTCTGACAGCTCTGTCCTCTTGTTCAACCTTACTACTGTACAACCCATGTTGTACTGCTCCCCCATTATACTTATGTTTTTCAATTCCACTGTAATTTATGTATATGCTTATAATATAAATATAAATAAACTAAAAAAGAAAATAATAATAAATAAATAAAATAAAAAAATATTGAAGTGTTAACCGTGGTAAAATTATGAGATGTTCTTATTACCACCATGCTATTGTATTATTCCAGATGTTACTAAATGTTACATAATACTTCCTTGAGATAAATGTATAGTATATATCAGGTGCCTAAAAGAGAGCTCAGTTTCTCAACTGGCTCAGCCATGTTAATATTGTTATTATTATTATCCACTCGGTATCTGTGTTTTTCTGGCTAAATAAATGTTTCTATTCAATTCAATGATTTTATCCAATTTAAACCTTTCCCCTTGATACCATTAGCCTTAACTTTTCTCAGAAACCTCTGATGCGGTACTCTGTCAAACGCTTTGCTAAAGTCTAAGTAAATAACATCGTAATTTTTGTCATTATCTACCTCAAAGACTTTACTAAGAAACGTCAGCAGATTTGTTAGACAAGATTTTCCCTTTGTAAACTCATGTTGAGAGTCGTAGATTAATTTGTTTTTCTCTAAATGAGATCGGGTGCTATTTGCTATAATTGATTCAAGAAATTTCATCACTACCGACATCAAACTAATCGGCCGGTAATTTGACGCTGATGCTCTATCTACCTTTTTGAATGTGGGTACTACATTTGCCTGTTTCCACAAGTCTGGCACAACTCCCGTGTCTAATGATTTTGTAAATAAATTTACGAGGGGTTCACTGATCTGTTCCTTAGACTCTTTCAAAACTTGAGGGAAAATTTCATCCAGCCCTGGGGATTTTGTCTTCTTTAATTTATTTATCTTCTTAACAACATCCTCTTTTCTGATAGTGATATTCTTTAATTTCTCCTCTTCATTTCCCCTAAATATCAGTTCCACCTCTGGCATTTCCTCTTGAATTTCTTCTATGAAAACTGATAAGAAGTTTAATGCTTTGCTTATTTTCTCACTATCATTGCTCACTTCCCCTCTCTCTGACTTTAAAGGCCCCACATTGTCCTTGACCTCTGTTATATATACCAGGAAAAATCCCTTGAGATTCTTCTTGGATTCTCTTGCTATCCTGGTTTCGTAGTCCCTCCTTACATTTTTCTTAACATTCCTAGATAGTTCATTATACCTATTTCTGAGATGCTCCTCCCCTCCCTTTAATTTTTTATAAATTCCTTTCTTTATTCCTATGTCATGTTTAAGTTTTTTGGTCATCCACCTTGACTCATTCTTATTTGACCTAATTTTTCTGTATGGTACACTGTATTTTGTTCTTGTGCTTTACGTATTATACTAGTGAATATATTATAGTCATGATCAATTGTTGTGTCGCCGGTGACCTCACCCGTTCCTACCAGGGACTGACCTGACTGTTCCCAGGCGACTTCACCTAGGTACAGTCTCGTTCAAGGTGTTTTTCTAAATAATTCTGATGCTATTGACATTTTCAAGGCAAATGGTATTCTGTAGCTTCCATAAAGTGTCTTAGGTGAGGTACAGACTGCCATTATTGTGGAGGTAAACACATTTGGTTTCCAAAATTGCCAGACAAAGGTAAGATAAGGTTAAGTTGAGTTAGGGTAGGTGTGGTTTTGATAGGCTTGGCTTGGGAATTTTTTCCTCGTTTATACCCCTCAATTTCACTACAGTACTTTAAAGCTCTGCCCAATTTGTGTGATCAAAATTTAGTGGTAGTGGGGGTGGGTGTTACTTTTCCAAACTGGCTCATTTCGTACAGAAATGAAGGTCAGATTCAATTGAAACAATAATAACTTTTTCTTGGGGGGTATTTCCATGATTCTCCTCTGCCAAATCTTGACCCTCATTGACTAGCCAGGGGGGGGCTTACCATTGGTAATACTCTATGACAATGACTTGTGATGTGGAGCAACTTTAGAAGAATTTTTTACAGAACATTTCTTTTGGTTACAGTCCAAACCAGTTGTCTACCTTAGCTATGTACTGTACAACATATCACTATGGACATAAATGTTTTCTTACCTCGTGAAATTGACATAAAATGCATGAGCATTATGTTTTGCATTATAAAAATTTTATTGTTTCTTTCGGCTTCAGTTAATGAACGACGCAGGTAGCAAAGCCAACCAAAGTCTGACTCCATATTGTCTTCTCAGTGGTCGTGTGTTAGTTGGTTTGACTAAGTATTATTTTCAGTTAAGTTAGGGTAGGGTTGGTTCATTTTATGAGCAATGAATTATAGAATGTAAGAGTATCTGGTACGTCATGAATGTTAATAGTTGCCAGGAGTTGCTAAGAGGGATCATTGATAAAATGAACCAAACTAAACTACAGTACCTAACATAGCAAATCTAACATAACCTTTAATATTAGAGCTTATTCCTAATTATGTTACCTACCTTAAACCTTACCTAACCTAACCCACTCCTAACCTAACTTATACTTCTAATCAAACTTAATCCACTCCTAATTTAAGTCTTATCCATTCATATAACAGTGAGGTATTGGAATTAGTGTCACTCAATAAAAAAGTCAAGACCCAGATCAAGTTTTTTAACCACTCAGTTCTTTTATTTACATTCTTTACATTACATGCCATGTTAGAAGAGAAATTATAAAGACAATTCTGTAATAAGAAAATATGAAAGTTTTAGGAGTAGTTAGTGTGCTGTAACCAATTTTTGAATTGTTTATTTTGATTATAGAGGAAGGACTACACATACAAAGGTCACGGGGACAGCGTTGACCAGCTGTGTTGGCACCCAACTCACTCTGAGCAGCTCACCTCAGCCAGTGGGGACAAGACTGTCAGGATCTGGGACACACGTACTCATAAATGCTCAGCCACCATCAATACCAAGGGTTAGTTGTGTAATACTGTACTCCTTTTTTGTTATAATATTAGACTTGGTTGTTACATAAACAGCAATTGTCATTAGTTGTAATGAACAGGTTTTTTTTTTTCCGGTAACCCTTTTTCGTGCTATAATTCAGTTATCAGAATTGAAGCATGTACAGTAAATCCCGTGTTTTTCCAAAAAAATTTTTTCGTGGTTTTGACCATTCGCGGTTTTTTTACAAAACAATTATATATACTTTATATACTGTATAAGTGAAATCCGCGTAAATGGAACAACAGAACATATGGGATTAATTCCAATAGAGACTGGCCCGACCCCCAAACTCCACTTTTTCCGACACAATACCTATGTTGTAGTAAAAATAACATCTAAATTTTATGATGGTATGCTCACACAATTAATATTTAAGAGAAATACAGTCGCCAGGTTAATGTCCATTCAAATAATACTCAAATCCCCTCTTCCCAGCTCACTGGCCCCTACCTCTCTGATTAGTTTCAAATAATGATGTTAGTAAATGCCGGTACAGTGCATCAGTGATCAGTGTGACCACTGGGCCGCGAGTGGAGATTATGGCGTGGTTAAGTGCATGACCTACCTGAGCTGTTTTGTGGCCACAGGTACAGTGATTCCTAAAAGAGTATTCGTGGTTTGGGCTTTTCGCGGGGGTTTCAGGAATGTAATTCCTGCAAAAAACATGGGATTACTGTACACACATTCTTCATTCATTTTATTCACTCATCTTCCTACTCTGATAGATGTCTTCTGTTTTAGAGTTCCTTTTCCACAACAATTCCCCATTTATCCATCTTGTTTGCTTCACACAAGTCAGCATCCTGGTCTAGTGTGTCCTTCACCACAACTTTCTGTCTCCTGGATCTTCCCCTTTCATTTGTAACATCCACCCTCTGATTTTTACACTATTTATACCATTCTTTCTCTTCTCATTCTCTCATTATGTCCACATTACTTATGTAAATCCTTATTTTAATTCTGTCCAATTCTTCTTTCACTTCCATGTCTCCTGATTTCGGTATTTATTATTCCTTGTACTGCATATATTATCAATATGTTAACTAAATTTTAAAACGACTAATAATTTTAATATAAAAAATGCAAAAATTTTAAAGAGCACAACGTTCTTGATATTTATTCCACTGGAAACGAATGTAAACATAGAACAGATTACTGAATTGGCAGACTACCCCATCAGCTGATCAGCTGATGCTCACAACAAAACGTGTTGTTCGTAAGGATTTCGTTAATCGAAGTTTTGTTCATTAACTGAATTGAAGATTCTTATGGGAGGTAATTCGTTAACTGAAATTTCATTAATCGGACTGTTCATTAACCGAGGGACCACTGTAATACCAAGCACTTGATGGTCCGGGTGTGGCCTACAAGCTGTAGTTTGGCCACCCCAGTTTCACTCCCTTATTATAATGGTCACCAAATTTTTCATTTAATTACCCTATCCCTATCTCTCATACTAAAGCTTTCACTTTAGCTATTGAGGGATTCCCAAAACCTTTCTCTCTCTCCTCCTCACCCTTCTTATTCCATTGTACACATTACTACCTTCTTTTAATCTAATCTTAATATGCTGGGGGTGATACCTCTTAGCTGTATTCTATTGCACAATGCTGCAATAATTCATCTCAACAACACCACCACATTCATTTTGTTTTATACTCTCTGACACTTTTTTTTTTTTTTTTTATTATTATTGGGTACTCCCCTACATCCTTGTGTAAGGTGAAGCGCAGAAGCATTTACAGCGCCCAACAGGGAAGCATGCTAAGTTAATGCTTGCCTTTATGTCTCATGAGTTAAGGGCGTAGAAGCCTGAAGAGTCAGTGGTTTATGTCATCAAGTTATTAGAAGCTCCAACAACTCCCTGAATACGAATTCGCAACTTTCGACTTACAACAGGTACCTACTTTACTGCTAGGTGAACAGGGACTAATGGCGGCTAGGAAGTAAGTCCAAACAACTTCCACCGGCCCGGGAATCGAACCTGTGACATCTCGCTTGCGAGGCAAGAATGGTACCGCTTCTACCACCGGTCCCCTCTCTTAGACACTCCTCACTGTATATCCCTCACTTGACCTTAGCTCACCTCTCCTTTGCCCTTCAGATTTGTTTTGCACAGAACTAGGATATCCAGGTTCTTTCCTTTTATCATAGTTTAAATCAACTTTTCTTTATTACATGTATTCAGATTACATATAAACAAATTGAAATATTTAATTTTGTGCTTTTTTTTTTTTTTTTTTTGTAACTGAATAGAAGGCGAGGGTTACTAGCTCCACGTCCCCTGGCCAGCCCTAGTAGGTTGTCTTTTCTTATGTCTGTATATAGTATATTCAATGTGTCATTTCTTCCTCAGAGTTGATTGGCTTAAGCTAAATCTATTTCAGAGACTAAAATGCTAAATAATTCTGAACTTCTCTAAGAATTTCTGTGGGGAAGGGGGTGAAATTCTGAAATACAGTACAGTACTGTTGTCTGAAAAAAATTTTATTGACTAGGTTATATTTTTTTTTAATTTTCTTTTTCTTTCACATATGCATTGATGAGGAGTTATTTATTAAGAAAGTTATATTGCTTGTAAACTGAATTAAATTTGTTAATCAGTCTTAGTTTCTGTAAACCATCAATTTTTGGCACAAAAATTTGGAGAATGGCATCAGCGTTGACATAACTGAAGTATCCACTGTTTTGTTTTACAGGAGAGAACATCAATATCACTTGGTCACCAGACGGCCACACCATAGCAGTAGGTAACAAGGAGGACCTGGTGTCATTTATTGATGTGCGCAGTCAGAAAATACGCCATGAACAACAGTTCAAGTTTGAAGTTAATGAGTTGTCATGGAATAATGCCAATGACCTATTCTACCTCACTAATGCCCAGAGTGGCCAGGGATACATACACATCTACAAGTTAGTCCATACATTTCTTTGTTTGTCTGTTTATACTGTATACTGTACCAATTTATTTTTCTTTCTGATGCTATTCATAGGTGTACTGTATCACCATTCAAAATCGTACTAAGGGCCCATGTCCACTTGAGAGTAAAATGTTGTCGACAACACTACTATCAAGTGGACATGGCTCTGAGAGTAACTGTCAGATAGTTTGAGTTTACTGTTGGACAGCTACACTGCTAGTTTGCTATCGTGTGGACACATGGTAGCCTGCAACTGTCATGTGAACTCTTAGCTATACGAACCAAGTTCGCAGTCTGACAGTGCTCTCGAGAGGTGAAGCTTGGATTTGAGTGCAATCTCATCAATATATTAATAGATCTAATTTAAACATCAAGTGTATTCCCTCTGAAAAGTGATGTTCAAGGCCAACAGATGGATATGGTAGATATTATCTGTTTCCCATGAGTATTTCACTTCTAATTAACTAAATATATTTATCAGATTATTGACGATGAATTTGCAGCATATTCATTGATGCAACAATAAATTTGATGTGAGAATCTTGTGGCAGCTGTGGTTGTAGTTGAGTTGCCAATTCATTAATATAATTTTCTTCATTATTTAAGCAAATATACAAAAAATTGGAAACTTATCATGACCTTAAATAACAATGAATAGTTTAATATTATAAAAATTCTACCTTTAGTTTGTTTAATAATAATTCTGGCAGTGATACAGACAAAAACAGATCCACCATTCACAATCACCTTTACATACAGCCTTCCTTTACCAAGTATTGCCAGGTAAAATTGCGATCACGAGACTGTACATCTGTACTCCCTGTTCACCATGGCAATGGCAGCGCTACCTCCGCCGATTCGCTAGCAACGCTCCCTCCCCAGTACCAACCGCCCAGCCATTCTTCCACTCCCCTACTAAGCCAGCTAACTCGTGTGCAAAGAAATGTATATTCCTTTTATGTGATTGCCCTTAGGACAATTATATCTTTTACTTTTTTCACAATATGTATGTAGGATAGTGTGTGCATGTATACCAGTAAAAATTAATGAAGAAAGTTACGTAAGTCTACCCAAAAATATGAGTCGAAAGCAACAGCTTGGCCCAGTAGCCTGGTGGTTACAGAGACGATTCTAACCTGGCTACAATGGCTACAAATGTGAAAAGAAAGGTATCTGTAAATCTTAATTTGTATCAGGTATTTGTAGATTGAAAAATAAATGTTGCGGGTATGCCATTAATAGATTGTAATGCTTTTAAGAGTTCAGAAATGGTTACTGCTTAGCAGTGGCATATGATGGGTATTGAAACAGGATGTGCTGAGCATTATAATAAGGTAAAGACGAAACTTTAAGTTGTATAAAATAAATGGCATACTTATAAAAGGTAGTACTGTACCTGTATTACTATGCATATAAGTAAACAGCACAGAAAATGCAAAGTAGAAGAAAATTATTGTAGAAGTGTACATATATTAACAGTGCAATTTAAACAAAAATATATTTTACTTACCCTTTTTATTTATACATTAATTCTATTTTTTTATTGTGATGTAAACTGCACTATAACGTCATCATAAAGGGAGCCTCTTTGTCTTAATTCCTTGAGGAAATTCTTTTCAACAGTATTTCCCATTGTGTAAGAAGGGTGAAAATTATGTCAAAGTATCTAAATTAAAATGCACAGTGAGCTTTAAATACCTGTACTATGTAAATCAAAACAAAGAAATATATTTTCCCATTCACAGTAAACGGAAACGAAATACAGAGCAACACTTCCTCCCAGTGTTGCCAACTACAGGTAATATGGATTTCTGTCTGAAAAATCCCTAAGAGAAAGGCAAAATGTCCCTACGTGTCCCTAAAGTTGAGCAAAATATCCCTACACGTCCCTACATTTTATAATGGAGATTCATATCTTTATAGTAAGGTTTTTAAGCTAATTTAGTACCAGCCAAGATATTTAAAATCCCACAAACATACTAACCTTTTATTGGGATATAAAATCATTAAAGAAAAACACATACTTTCAGCACTGGAAAATATTGACACCAGTGATTTATATAAATGTAAAACTAAATGGCAAGCTGGCTAGCTCCTAGTAAAGCCTTAGCTGAATGAGGCAGAGAAGTTATTACTCCTTTGCTCTGGCAAATCATGACTAGTTTTTAAAATCATACATATGTTGATTATGGTACAAAGGGTAGCTTTCATCAACCTCTTTGGCAAAATCAATGCAGGTTTTGTCTTTGGATTTCAAATTTGAGTTGATAAACAATAAAAAATCGAACAGTTCTGGTCCCATTCTATTGCATTTCTTTGCATTGGAATCAACCATCATTGACAAAATCCGTTCAGTTTCTGCATTTTAGTGTGGTAAGGTCAGTACCAACTTTGCAAGTGAAGCAATATTGCCAAATATAACTTGGTCATTAGCTTGGAACTACATGCAGTACAGAAGGCACAGTAGGGGTCGTCTTTAACTGGAAAGAGCCAATCTTGAAATTCTTCTTTATAGAAAAAAAAGTAGATGACTAGATATGCAGTTTTGTTTGACATGTAATATCAAAACTGCAGACCTAACCCTACTAAATTTAGCCTAATGTCCTAATCTTTATCCGATATATCAAAACACAATTCTCCCCCCCCCCCCTCTCTCTCTCTCTTATAATGCTTTGGTTTGAAAAAAAAATAGATCCAGATCCCCAAGAGTACGGACACCTTCATGAATCTGTATCATTAGAAAATTACCTCTGTCCATTCTGGTCTAAAACTTTGCTTTCGCTTAGGTGATTTCTCTTCACTTGGAAGTTCATTTCTCTTCCGTCTCGATTTCTTTGGTGTATCAGCCATAATTCTACCAAATGCTCCAGTACAGCGACAGTTAGGCTAACGAGCGACTGGACACTGGCGTGCATCATATTTATAATGATTTAATTCACGGCAATAATAGAGAAAACTTTGTATTTCTTTGTAGAGTCCAAAAGTCTCTACGTTTCTAGCTATTTTGCCTGGGCGTCCCTACGAGCATGGAAAAGCTCAAAATGTCCTTATGTTTAGGGACGTGTCCCTACAGTTGGCAACACTGCTTCCTCTGCTGCGGGCTGGGTGCTACTGGCTGGCCGCTCGACTTCACTCACTATAAACCCCGTCCCTCCCCGCCTCGGTACCCCTATCACTTGCATCCCGGACCCCATCCCATCCCCTCCCTCCCGGACCCCATCCCATCCCCTCCCTCCCAGACCCCATCCCCTCCCCTCCCTCCCGGACCCCATCCCATCCTCTCCCTCCCGGACCCCATCCCCTCCCCTCCCTCCCGGTACTCCTACCCAATGTGTGCGGTGACAGCTCCGCCCAACTGCAGGCTCTGCAGCTAATAGCAATCCAACAGGAGAGCCAAGAAACAACAGTTGAGGTTAACACTGCGTTAATACTGTACTTGTAAAATGTCATGTATATTTATTGACATTAAATAAAAGTATTAAATCATTATTTCATGACTTCTGTGGGTGTGCGGAGCTCACTTAGCACACCCTGAATATACTCCCCTGCTGCTTAGTTACCTTTGAAGAGTTGGGTGTCTGCTGTACAGACATTATTCGTCTTAGGTTATCGTCATCAGTACAGTATAGTTATAGATAGACCTTTTATCTTTACAATAATTATTTTTTAATTAATTAAAAATAATAATAATGTATAAGTAAACAATAACATATTTTTAATTTTGGAGTTGGGTTAGGTAGAAATAAGTTTACTGGAGACAGCAACTGGGGGATTCATTAGCTTGCAGAAGACTGCAACTTTACATGTAGGACACAGGCTGATTATTTTAGCCATCTTTTCAGACAAAAAAGTACGTCTTACAGTATATGCCATAAAATACGGTATACTGTACAGTATTCCCGTCTCTCGTTTACAGAGCAATAATAGCTAATCGTTCCTGCTCTTCAAAACATTATACAGTACATTACTATAGCACTAGAATATATGAAATACTCTGGCCATGGCTCGTTCAGTCAGGATGTTCTTGTGGAGGTATCTTGCAAGTCACCTGTGTCCTTTCCTCTATACAGTGTATATAAAATATGATTTCATACTTCAACACATTTTATTGTGTGTGTATATATATATATATATATATATATATATATATATATATATATATATATATATATATATATATATATATATATATATATATATATATATATATATATATATATATATATATATATATATATATATATATATATATATATATATATATATATATATATATAAAGTTATATTACTGAACATTTCCTCACCTGCAGTTACCCTGAAATGGAACTGGTCCACTCAATCCATGCCCACCCTGGTAACTGCATCTGTATCAAGTTTGAGCCCCATGGACACTACTTTGCCACAGGCTCAGCCGATGCTCTTGTGTCTATTTGGGATGCACAAGAACTCTACTGCAAAATGACATTATCCAGGTACAGTATAGTTTTAGAAGATCAGTACTTAAAAATTATATTATCCGGGTTTTGTTTTACTGGACCATTGCTTCAAAATTACATTTATCTGGATAGTTTTACATGATCAGTACAGTACCTGTACTGTATTTCAAATTAGCATTACCCATGTTTAGTTTTAGAAGAAACTTACCTCAAAATGATAGTACAGTACTTGTATTTAGGTATAGTTTTAGATGATATTCCAGTTGCTGGAATATGTGAGATGGTTGATGACAGACATGGGAGAGTTGAGATGCACAAGCTGCTGTAACACCAACTCATTTAGCTCTCAACTTTCAGTGGTGAGGGTTACAATAAGAAATTGTACTAATTGTTTCATTAGTGCCAGCGAACATTGTCAGAGGTTTGCTTGGGCTACAACTCATAAACTTGATAGGTACAGGTACTATATTATACAAGTCTTACTGTCCTGACTCAGTTATAAACTGGGAATACCAGGATCATTCCTGCTATATGATACAGTACAGGTATTCCACTGTACAGTATAGAGAAAATAATTATTCTTAACTCAAATTTGTTTCCTTACAAAGGGTTTCCATTGTGTCAAGTTTTACAGTAAGAAATATTCTTCAAACACCTCGACTGATCACCTTTAAATGAATTTCTATGTTTGTATTGTAATTCTCTGTAATGTACCTGTATTACGAGAATAATTTAAATTGCTTAACGCATTTTGCCTTGCACAGATTAGAGTGGCCAGTCCGCACCCTCAGCTTTTCACATGATGGACAATTGTTGGCATCAGGCAGTGAAGATCAGACAATTGATATCGCCCATGTCAGCACAGGAGAACAGGTGGCACATATCAGTGTTGCATATCCTACCTTCACACTAGCCTGGGTAAGTGGCACATATCAGTGTTACATATCCTACCTTCACACTAACCTGGGCAAGTGGTGCAAACAGTGTTGTATGTCCTACCTATGGCACAAAGAAACTTGCCCATAATTTCTATCTGCCTGGGAATTGGACTCGGGTCCACCCACTTGTAAATAGCAGCCTGCACAATGTTGCTTACTTTAAAGTGTGCTGTATGTTCAGGTGAAGATAAAGTACTGTATTGGTGAGTTTTGAAAAAGAAACCTAGGTTAAGGGTGCAATCTTTGCAATGTGGTGATACAGTAGAACATCGATTTAAAGCGATTCAATTTAAGATTATTGATTTAAAGTTACACCCACAATTAAGGACTATGTTTTAATTTAAAGTGAATCTTTGATATTTTGCACAAGTCAATCTGGGGCATCATATTTTAAAATTCGCGCCTAATGTTTCTCTGGGCACGCTACACTGTTCTAAGGGCAAAGTTGTACTGTACATATACTGTATTCAAAATAATGTACTAAATGATTACTAAAATTTTAGTCTTGTGCAAACTATAGCATGATTACCGGGTATATTCAAATTAATCACTATCTTATAAGAATTCCAGCAATGTAAATTATATTCTCCCCGGTCACTTCTGTGACATTTTATAAACAAAAAACAGAAATTCAATCTAAAGGACTTAAATGAACAAATAAATACTTCACTTCACTGTCAAACGTGTCATTGTTCCCCCCTCTATCTTCCCAGCCAGGGTTGTGTGGTTATAGGCTTACAGTTTTTATCTTATATAATATCACAGACTAAAGTTAGGAGAATATAATTTGCCTTGCTAGAATCCTTGCAAGACAGCGAATAATTTGAATATAAACGTCATATATTTTGCACGAGATAAAAAATTTAGCCCTTTGTAATAAAATTAATTAGAACATGTCAGTTCAGTGACATTTTATAAGATAAAAACTTAAAGTCACTCTTAAGGACAGATAAATAAATAAGCACTAGATCTTGGCATCAACTGTCAAACATATCATCTCACCTCCCCCCCCCCCATCTTCACATCAGCTGATCGCTAGTACACAGACCATTTCATGTCCCATAATTTTAGCTGTGTTGATTTAGGAGTGTTTGTTTTAACATAATACTACAAAAACCAATGTTTTGTTTATTCTAGGAGATGGGCTGAGGTGCATCTGGGTAGACTCTCAGTCTTTTTAGTATCTTGTGTTTCTCTCAAGTACCAAACTAAATTATTCCATTGAAACAACACTTCGATTTAGTGCGAATTCGGTTTAAAGCGACCTCTCTTGGAAAGTATCTCGTGTTATATTGACGTTCTACTGTATAAGAGAGATTAATGGTTATAGTAAGACCAAGGATATTGCAGTTGATGGCTAAGAGGAGGCTAGAAGTTAACTTGGGAATGGGACAACTGGCCGCCGCCATCTGGCCGCAGCCCAACTGGCCGCGGGAAACTCGCCGCAGCCGACTGGCCGCCGCGGAAGGTTAGGTTAGGTTCCATATGGCGGCCAGTCGGCCGCGGCGAGTTTCCCGCGGCCAGTTGGGCTGCGGCCAGATGGCGGCGGCCAGTTGTCCTAGACCCAGTTAACTTGTTTGCAAGAGACAGGGAGAGCTTGTGTTTTTATGAGTCTAGTTATATCTATATTATTTGTGCCCCGTTGAGCTATAGACTCAAGGTTTGTGTTCACTGCAGCTTTAGCATTTAAATATGAATGAGCTTGACTGAGCCTGGGTATAATAATGGTAGGATAAGAATTTTGTTTAGGTTAGTGTCATTGGCAAAAAAAATGTAAGGAAGTCATCGATATGGAATAAGAAGAGGGAAGGAACAAGAACTGAACCTTGGGGCACTCTAGCATTGATGAAAAAGTAGTGTGAGTGTTAACCATCCACAACAACATGGATGTGGTAGTTGGAGAATAAGAAGACCAAATGATGAAAGTTTGGCAGGGACAGTTTGATGCCATACCATATCAAAGCCTTGAGAAATATCAAGGGCAACAAGAATAGATTTCCTTAATTGGCCAAGGTTATGATTTAAGAAGGTTGAGTAATTAAACACTTGAATAGAGACCTTACTGAGCATCACAGAGTAGCTGGTGCTTTTCAAGGGTTTTGAGTCCAGTGATTGTTTATGGCAGATTCTACAAAATATCGTTTTACGGTAGGTTTATCTTATTGTTTACAAAATCATTAACTTCAGGACACCTGTGTTTGTATCATTTGTGCAAGCAAATATTCATTATAGATTTATCTGTTTGTCTGTTTGCCCCTCAAGAAAAAGTCCCATAATTATCTTATGAAAAAAGATGTAGGTTACTAGAAAAAAAAAATATTCAAGTACATTACTGTACAGTAAATGTGTTCGTCCTCAGCTCATGTCAAAGGAGACTTAGTGAACAAGAACTTCATCATCACCCTTCTGCTTCTTCCTTTATTAAATTTGCACCATTACCAGATTTAACATTGAGAATTCCATCAGTACAACAAGCATTATGTAAAATTTACAACCAGCAGATGTGTATAATTTATTACAAATTATGTTCCTCCATCTTTCATACCTGTCATGCAATGAATATTATTTGAAACACAGGAAAGAGGTGTAATCTTTTTTTTAAACACAAAATATTCAGTAAAAAAATAAAATTGTCTGGTGGGAATTTTCCTATCATTATACACTTTGTAGAGATGTAGTGACTGAGTGGATACAGTGCTTTCTTCCTGACCATACTGGTTGGTTTGTGTCCAGGGCACCCCAGTTCACCCAGGCAAGTGTAGGTGGTCAAGTGCAGTGCTGGCCACACTGCCTCCTTATGTATATACTGTACCAATAAAATGACCCAGTCTACACTTTGCTGTATCTTCACTGCCCCCAAATGGGCCATAAGGCCTCCAGGGCCCTCTTTCACTTTTTCAGTGCATCTTGTACAGTACTTTGCATCATTCAATACATTTTTCAGTCATAATACACCTTGTAGACCATCAGATAATGCTACGTTTGCTTCACAATAATTACAATATCAGTACTGCCAACATCCTAGTATGCAGGAATCTCTGTATTATATTTGCCCAGGCAGTTAATACCAGAGCAGTTTTCAGCTCCAGCAACTTTCGGTGGTTTGTTAGGTAATGCAACATTCTTTTTTTCAGTAGGCAAAATACATTTTCTGCATTATCAGACATATCACATCCCCTTTTCAGCACCCCCGGGATTTTCTTCTGGCATATGCTTGTGATGACAAAGATGATCGTGATCGTGACCGTGATGCTGGGACAGTCAAGCTCTGGGGTTTGGGTGAGCGGAGTTAAAGGTATAATGTACTGTATTGTATTCGTAAAATGTAGACCCTGAGTTATTTTTTATATACATTGTAGATGAAAACATGACATTTGTAAAGTTTTATATGTGTTGAGGAAATCTAGTACAGGGTAAGCTAAAGATAAGTGAACCAGATTACTGAAAATATAAAATTAGCATCAAAAGTTTGTGAAAATGTACAGTAATGGATAATAAGAAAAGCTACTGTTGAGGCATTTCTAAATTATAAGTAAATATCAGGATGGAATGTGAATTAGAAACATGAGAAACAACGGACTTAATGTAGCTACCTGAAGACATGATGTTAGAAGGCTGAGCAACAACACTTTTATACAATTCCAAGTGTAATAAATGACCATCATTCTTTATTAAAGAATTCTTTAGTAGTACAGTATTATTTCCTTATTATTTCCCACTGAATTTTCAAAAAATATTACAAATGGCATAGAACCAGTAACCCAGTCAGGTAAATTGGTACTCAGACTACCAAAACAATACATCTTGATTGGCAGGAGAAAAACAAGTGATTGAATGAGAATGAAACTGGAAGCAGGCTGAGAAGACTGATACTAGCTGTCTGTTCTGTATATAGCCAAAAAATAGTAGATTAAAAAAAATGAGTGAGGGTGAATGAAGTATGTAATTAGATTCAGTATTGATGTTAATAGGTGAGTTAACTACAGGTACGAAAGTTAAGAATGTAGTTAAAGAATACCGAAGAGAAGGACTGGTGAAATTGTGCTGAATGGGACATGAAATGCTCAATGGATCATGTAATTCCTAAAAATAATAAAGGAAAAGATGATGGAGAGTAGAGTGAGTAGTGGCTTGTATAAAAGTCTGCAGATCACATTGTAGTACTTGGTATATATGGGGGTCTCTTTGTATGGAGGTTTCAGGGCCCAGGAGAGAGACCTCAGGCCCCAGTGCTACTTTTGATTCCAGGCTCCTTAATTATCCCTTTTCTTTGTCCCCAATATCTTGTAAAGATTCTTCAGACAATTGTCGTAGTTCTAACACTTAAACCTGTTTGAATTTTGCCTAATATTTGCTATACTGCTGAGGCCTGTAACTTGGCCCCATGGCACAGTTGGTTGGCTCGTAAATTTTCAGTGTTACAGAGGTTTAAACATGGCTTATTTGGACTTTCTTTAGGGGAGTTGTGGAACTGCAAGGTGGTGAAAATTTTTAAGGAGGTGCTAAACCAAAACACATCCACTTCAATCATTCTACTCACTTAAAGTTTCTGTGACAGGTATATCCAAGACTACAGTGTGTGTGGCTATCTGGCTTATGATATTTCGGTAATATACACGAGGAGTCAACCAAATTTATCATAGCTAAGAATGCAACAGCAGGTAAATCTTGTTCAAGTCATCATGTTTAATCCTTTTGCAGTCAAGGAAGACACTGGCAGGGATAACACACCCACTCATCAATATTGTCACTTCAACTGTTGGAACAACAGATGTTGCAGACTTAAGTTATGCAGTATGGTAAACAAGCTGAAAATTTTTGCCTCCATGAACAAACATGTTCAGGTCAAGAGAAAGGACAAGATGCAAACAACACTGATAGAGTTTTTAAACAATCTAACTGTGGTTGGACAATCAAAATATGTGGATATTCCAGGGCTTTTACAGCACAGTATGATCTTTCATCAGTTCCACTGACACTTTTCAATTTAGATGGTTCAGTGAGAAAGATGGTAAAAAGCAAACACTTTCTTTGCTGGAAAAAGATATATCTATCTGCACAGCAGTTTTCTCATTCACATAAACCAACATTAGCTACAATGGATCTGATATTGCTTTTTAGGATGGTGTGTACAGACTAATATACTGTACTTTTAAAACATTTGGTGACTCTTTTTAGGTTATTAACACCAATAGACTGCTGTAGTTGGAGACAACTACAAAAACAATGACTCCAGCAAGGGTGGTGAAAATTCACGTGTAGAGGGGTAATTCAAATGTAAGAGATGAGAAATCTTCCTTTTATGAATCCAGCAATGTGTAGAAAAACCTGAATCAGGAAAAAGAGATTAAACTCTAAGGTGTATTTCATAATCCTTCCCTTGGTCACTATGAAGTAATGATTTAATATCAGTCTATGAAGAAGCTCACTCAAGAATGCTTTACTTACATCCTATACAGTGCAAACAAAACAAATCACGAGTCTTGTTGTGGAGTATTTACTGATGTAGCTGCATTATTGTATGTCCCAGATATTTTCTCTTTCTTCCACTGTATTTCAGAATGGGTGACAAAAAAATAAAAAAAAATTTCCCTTGCATCTTGTTACTGATCAATTTGGATATGACATATTACTTGTCCTTCCAGCTTTATATGACTGAGAGGTTGTGACTCTACTAGTGCCTTCAGCAACAAAGGTAAGCAATAATGGATGCAGATGGTTTCTTCCCACCCAGAGTTGATGAATGGACTCAAATTTCTTGGACATAGTGCATCTCAAGTGGAAAGGCAAGCTGAAATCAACTGAATTTCATTGATATCACTTGTTATGTGAAAGACCATCAGATAAGCTTGACAGTGTGTGATATGAATTACTTTTTGTGTATTATTATTATTATATATATATATATATATATATATATATATTATATATATATATATATATATATATATATATATATATATATATATATATATATATATATATATATATATATATATATATATATATATATATATATATATTTATTTTATGGGGATTAGCCCACCCGGGCACAGGTCACTGACCCACATCGAGGCCTGGGGGGTGAAAATGTAGTAATATTAATAATAATAATAATAATAATAATAATAATAAAGAAATACAAAAATTAAAAAAACATCAGTAGTGAGAAACAATATATGTATGTTGTGTTGTCAATAGTAAGAGAAGCAATTGAGACCCTGTAATTGTGTGTAAATGAGACAGAAAGTCAGATCAGCAACCTGGGACTTGGTCACAATTTTTGTGACGCCATATGGCAGCAGGGTCTACCATTAGACAATGCATTATGCTTCCAATATCTCCCTGTTTGGTAGCTGCCTACTACCTGTACAGCATACTGTAGTAGCCTGTACAGTATATGCAAAGAACAACAACTCCAGTGAGAAGCAGCTTCCCAATATGGAAGCCTTTTGACAGCATCTGAAGTATATCAATTACAGTAGAAGTCCAAAAATCCGGACTGCTTGGGGGATTGGGTCGGTCCGGATTTTCCGGATTCTCAGGCAGTACTTTTAAAATTCAAATTTAAGGAGGAATAAAGAAGAGATGAACAGGTACACTTTGAGAGTTTATTCATAAGCAAGTAAAGCATGCTTCATTTATCAAAATGAGCAGTTTTAAAGAAAAATAATGTCAACACTTGACAAAAATGCAAACAAACTGTCTAATACCATGACGAGTCTTGAAATTCCTAAGCCATCCATCACTAAATGCTCACTCTGATTCAATGTTCATTTGCTCCTTAAAAGACTTTGCTTTGGCAATAAGCATCAGCCCATAAATTGCCATACCTTCTGATCGTTTTAACAAAAACCATTTGTGCAACACTTTATCAAGATTTTCTAATTTGGGCCAATGTAAACTTTTTCTTTCAGCAATTTTATTGTAAGGCTCGGAAGAAGCTGTGAACTCTAGAATTTTATTCTCTGCCTTTTTTATATCATAAATTGTAGACTTTGCAATGTCGTATTTTTCCATTAGATCAGTATTGCTCACACCACGTTCTAGTTTCTTAATTATTTCAAGTTTGTCACTCAATTTCAATGTGTTCTTCTTTCTCTTCACACAACGAAGTTTATCTACTTTAGGAGCCATTATTATGGGCTTGTACTCTGTAAATGGAAAGAGTAGGACTCAAAATTACATATGTTGTCACAGTTTGATTGCTTGTTTTAAAGTGGAGATCGCGTGGTCGCTTGTTGTCGCTGTGTAGCTGTGGCATTCAGGCATGCACACATACACACAAAAGATTTATAGTGCCACAAATTTTACATTTGAGGACAAGCTAATTACAAAACTAACAAAATTAGCTACCTATAATTTACAATTACAGTACTTTTATTATTAGAATTATGTAAATTAATTTTTTTAAAGGAACGCCATTCATTCACGTAACCCACAAAAGCCCACTAAATTTAAAAAGTTTTAAAGTTTTCGAAAAGTCCGGATTCTTGGGTGGTCCGGATTTCTGGCATCCGGATTTTTGGACTCTTACTGTATCTGACTTTTATCTGGATGCAGGCAACAGAGGAATATATCTCCACTTACCACTACAGTACAGGTAAACTTCTATATACGATGTCCCGCGTTCAGCAATATTTCGCTCTAACAATGCTCATGAATTAAGACCATCTCGCTATACACCATAAAAAAAAAATAACTTTAACGATATCCATTGGTTGAAAAAAATTTTTCTCAAGTGCAAACTACGTATGGGTTGTATATATACTCAAATTAATTGCCGTCTTGCAAGGATTCCAGCAATACAAATTGTATTTTTTCTACCTCAAGTCCGTGACATTTTATAAGGAAACAATATTTAATCCTATGTACAACCATAGGGAACGCATCTCTCGCCGCACTTGTCAGCCGCGGCAATATCTACCTGCACACTGCAGTCCTGCACTTGGTTCTTTGTTGATAGCATCTGTCTGTCATCACGTAGCTCCAATATTATCATTCCGCATCGTTGGTTGTATGTACAGTCTCGTTCAAGATTCTTCAAACTGCTGGAGACAGCTGGCAATTCAAAGTCGTTTGTTTATTATAGTACGTAGTAAAAATTCTGAATAAATGTAAAAGTGATCGGTGATTGGTTACTTAGTTCCCCGTTGCTTAATTCATGGTTGGTGCTTTGTTGTTTTGTATTATATTATACTACGTACTATAGAAAAGAAACGGCCTTGAGTTGCCAGTTGTCTCCAGCAATGTTCGAAGAATCTTGAACGAGACTGTACATTGTACTTATCATAGGTGTTTTTTTTTTCATATACTGAGAGGACAGCACTAACATTTAGATTGAACTGTGTTATGTTGACTGTGAAGTGATTTATTTTTATTTATTCTTTTTTACTTAAGTGTTTTGCCTCTGTTTTTGTGAACATTTGATCTGTGTTGGCAGCTATCATTGTGCTTATGTTGTCATCGCTGTTTTTTTTTTTCTTACAGTTAAGTGCTTTTGCCCTGTTTTAGTCACTGTGAAGTGAGACATAGAGTACACATGTGATGATGACCAGGGTTGTTCTTCATGATGTGGTGAGTGTTGTTTAATTGTTTTCTATTGATTTTATGAGTGTACAAATTTTTTTTTGGTGATACATTTGTGTTTAGGTACTGGCTGGGAACGTATCCCATTGAACCCCATGTT